AAGGATTACACCACGAGATAGAATTACAAGTGCCAAACCCACGGCTATTTTTCACGGCATGAGCAACATTAATCACACTTTTCAGCAACAGCGACTGCATGTCCTTGGGCCTGCAATTCTGCTTTCTCAGTGTACGCTGGCGAAAGGGCCCTCACCCAGCTTCTGAACAGCTGTGACGGCATAGGTGCGGCTTTATGACCAGAGAGTGCTGTCATAGGGTTCTACTCGTATGTTTGTAGCTTTAGGTGTAGGGAAAGAGGCATTTAGAGGCTTGCTTCAGACTGTCTAGGGCCTGAAAACGGAGACTGTAAGTGTTCATAGAGCCCGGCTTGTGCTCCAAGGTGACTGAGGTCTTCGTCCATGACCCGCTCTACAACTGGTCCCTTACGCCCAGTCGGGCACAGCAGAGCGAGCCCGCCGATCAAGGCAGCGCAGGCACATCGTTTCAATTAATATGTATATATATATATATGTATACATACACATACATACATATACATACATTTGTATTTATATATCCGTGTGTAGGGGCTGCATGTCAAAAGCAGAGACGCTGATGGCCCTTGTGTTAGTTGTAGTGGCTCGAGGCAGGAAGGGCCAGCAAGCCCCCAGCTTCCACAGGGATGCAAACAGAAAGGCATCAAACCTTGGGATGTTCCCCCTTATACTCACACAGCCCTTAAGAGGGATTACAGTACCCCCCTGTAAGAATCCCTACTAAGTTCTGTTAGTAGAAGGGGGAGCACCCCACATATAGCCTGTCAGCCCCCACATCTGGCGAGCAGGGCGCGAAGCCGGCGCCATGCTCTCCGCGGCTTGGTCACTTTGAGAGTTTCAGGGATGTTCAGCGCGCAAAAGGGCAGATGTGTGCAGGGTTTTCGGTTTTGAGGGTTTTTAGGTTTTAGGGTTAGGGTTTCGAGGTTGCTTGAGCGAGCCTTCTTGCCTTCCCTCATCCGAGCCCCGAGTCAGAAAATCAAAAACCCAGGATGCTGTGTGTATGTGTTTGTCTGAGGAAAGTCACCGAAAACCCTTCCAACTGCCTTGAAATCGGGCAGTAGGGAAATTCCTCGGATGATACGAAACGCGCATGGTGATCAGGGCCGGTCACCGGTCTGCTGTTTGTGGTTGCCTTAATGTGCTTGGGGAGTGTATTGTGGCGGCTCTTGGCAGTCCGGGGGTTTCAGGGGATCCCTTCCCATCAACCGCCTGGCTACCAGCCGTTGCCTGCGTCACTTCGCATAGAAGACAAGAAGGATGAACGACAACAGTCCAGTTGTGAGGCTTGTTACCGCATGCAACATGCGGTCGACGCATGCGCACATGTGCCCTGAACACAAATGTGGGCTGTTGTAGCCAGTGCCCCAAACCCTCAGGTCCCAAAAGCCAAATCCTTAAGCCAAGAATAAGCCCCCAAAACGAGTGGTTGGCCCAGCTGCAAGTATGCCGGAGTGAGCAAGCAGAAAGAGCCCTGAACGCATGCCCAAGCCGAGCCTGCAGACCCTTACGCCCACTGAGGAGGTGGAAGGCAACGAGATGGCGAAGCGAGCGCTCCTGAACGTGAAGGCCAGATCTTCTCAGGGCTATGGAGGAACTTGCTGTTGATTAGTAGGGAATGAGGGAATGAGGTACCCCCTATATATACCCTTTAAAGGAATTTACAGGGTACCTCATTCCCTCATTCCCTACTAACCAACAGTAAGGGAAAGCAGGGCTGAGAGACAGGGGGCTCAGGGAGCCACAGGCGGATTGAGATTTCTATAGGGCCATGAACGCCTATTCAACTTCCTCTAAACCCGAAGCCCTGCAACTTGCCATCTTATGGGAGTCTCCGAAAATAGGGGTACCCTTTGGAAATACCCATATCACCCTAAACCCCAAACCCTAAACCCCACTTATTAAAAAAGATAAAACAAGAGCAAGCCAGGCCAAGCTTCTGGGCGAGGCGCAAGGCTTTGCCACTTCCCTCGGTGTGCCGGCACACGTGGGCCGCGCATCTCGGCTTGAATTGCCTTTGGGCTTTGGGGGTTTTCGGTTTACAGGGTTCAGCAGTCGTGCCAGCTCTGGCGCGACCCAGGACTGCTGACGTCCAGGAGTCCAGAGTCTGGGTTTCACAAGGGTTAAGGATGTTCGGTTTTGTGTTTGCTAACATCGCGTCCCGCTGGCACATCTCGACAGACGTCCTGTACTTAGAGAACAACATTACCATCCGAGAAAGCTCGAACTGCTGCGATTTACAGAATCGAAGGCCCCAGGTCAATCCGCCAAAACAAACCCCTCGGCCTTTTGTGGATGAGGGTGCCTGGGCTAAATTTCTCCGTCAAGCCAGGCACTTTGACCAATGCCTTTCGTGGCTTCATCTCGGGTTTTGGACTGTTCTTCTGTTGAGTCGGGTCGAGTGCTTCCTTCATCCATGCCCGTTTCTACGTTGGTCATGGCTCCGCATGCAAAGGTCCGAAAAGTGGCTGACAACTAGCTCTGTCCACTCATTGTCAGCAAGTAGCATGTTCGGGTTTAGGGCTTCAAGGTTTTTGTGGGGGTTGGTGGAGGGGGTCCCTAAACCCCAACCCAGCCCCATACACCCTAAACTGCTTGGCAAGGTCATTCACGAGGCCACCGATTCGGCTAACCTCTGCCGCATGTTCTATGGGTGGAGCCCGTGGCTCTAGTGCCTGAGAACAACTTGGACTAAATAGCGTGAGAGTGAGGTAGAGATACCTGGCGATGCTGGCTCGCAGTAGCGGATGTGTTTGTGTACTTCCACGCGACTGTGCGTCTGTGTGTTGGGTGACATCTATCGCTTCGATGGCTGCAGAGCCCGGCAGTACATGATCTCTTCGAGGTCGGGTTGCTTGCTGCGCTTTCGCCCATGCCGACGTTGCGCTTGGAGCCGCTGCTGCATCCTGGCTGTTTCCCGTTACGCTTCGGACTTAGTGGGTATAGCTTCTCCATAATATTAATACGGATTACGAATATAGTCGCACGAATATTATCACACGAATAGGAAGGCAGAAGAGAAGTCGGAGTACGGCTGTTTGGTCTGCAGGGCTAAGAGGGGGCTTCAGTCTTAGCCCAGGGTTCAGGATGTCCAGGGAGGAGTGAGGGCGCCCAGGTCTTCACTGCCTGCGGCTTTGGCTTTCACTGCGAGGGGATCGCGCTGCGAGATCTGGAAGGCTTCCTCTGGCCAAAAACTCGTAGCTGTTTGAGGATATCGGGTTAATAGCATGTGGGGCAAATTTAGGCAATTCAGGTTGCTTCATCTTGACGAAGGGGGGAAGCAAAAGTGTGAACCCTAGGGCCCTACACTTAATTAAAACCCTATTGTTGCTTGGAGATATGATCTTCAAAAAGAAATAGAGAGTGAGAGATTTTCAGGATACTCATGAGAGGGATGTACGAGCTCGCGTGAATTGCAGGTCGTTCTTCTGGGACCTCGCTTTTGGCTTGTCTTGTCTATTTCAGGTTTCTCGACTTACTTGGGAGTTAACTTGAACTGAAATATTCCAACTTGGCATTCTGGAACCTTATGGTTCACGCAGTGGGGTTGCCGAGGGGAGATTCCGCTGTTGGATTATTTCAAGAATGTTTTATCACAATTAGGCATCAATGAGAGCTCAGTTGAAACAAAATCGAGTAGAGAATCTCATAGTCAGGCGCAAGCATTCGGGGGAGCCAGTTCAGGGCGCATGAACATGGAGGGAGGCCAGCGGCGTTTGCAACTAAACCTCAAAAATGAGGTTCGACTTGGCTGATACTTGTACGATGCAAAGGTTGAAGACAGCATCCAGGGCCTCAACGCTGGAGGTATGATGGGTTCTCATTAATATACTTGTTTCGCGCCATGCGCAATCTTTCTTACCCTTGCAAGTGCACATCCCTCCAACCCCAGCCTGAAACCAGCGGATGTAGGACCTGGTCATCAAGATGGAGAAGGACACCCGCTTGTGGTCTCGGGGCTTTGGGGTTTAGGGTTTTTTGGGTGATAAGTCAGCCGACGACTGAGTTCCTCGCACCAGAGTAAGACGCGAGATAACAGCAGATATCATTAAGGGTAAAGAGTTCTCATTGATTCACCCCAATCCCTAGACCCTAAACTCCACATATCGAACCTAAGAGTATGAATGTTGCAGGTCACCCGACCTTTCTCTCTCTCAGGCCCTCGCCTCTATGCAGGACCTAATGAATTACTGCCACCAACCGGGATGAAGCAGAGGGACAAGGCCCAAGGCCAACCTTGAGCGCCCAAAAACCGCAGGTGAGCTCTAGCTCTTCGAATCGCAATTGAAATTGCATGTTAAGCAAGGGGGATCTCGCTCCACCCCAGCATCAAACCCTCAGCCTCCCCAAGATCTGGCAAAAATGCACCCAGAATCACCGTGCAGATAAGGAACCCTTCCCCCCCGGTTGTAAATACATCCGGAATTGCGATGCAGAAGAAAACCACGAAAAGCTCATGCCTCCACCAGATCCAGAAGCAGACAGCCAAGTGCAGGGGAGCAGCCCGCGAGAAGCATTTCGGCCGCAGGATCTCTGTGAACTGAGGTAGAATAGAGGTTCGAGGGTCCATCTTCAGGCTGAGCTGGTAATCGGTCATTCTTGTGGTAGGTGTTCAGGGATTTGGCTTTGGCTTGCATGTGAACGACGGGCTCGACTCCCATCGTTTGCCTTCAAGGCTTGAAGCGGTCCGCTTTGAGCCCTTTAGCCCTTGAACCCCAAGAGCCCTTCCTTGTGATGGGGGACTCAACGAAAGCCCTAAAACACTGAGTACTAAACCGTAATTCCAATCCGAACCTTCAAGCCCTCCGTTTGCTCAGGGACAAGCTGCGCTGCGGCGAAGTCTACCGACCACTGGCTCCGCGCGAGAGAAAGACCTCAATTTGCCTGCGCCGCTGCGCTTTATCTTGAGCCCGACCCCTGTGAATCGTTAGGCCTCGACGTCAGCTAGCGTTTAGAAGAGGACAGGCCATAGGATTGCTTCCGAAACCACGCGCCTCCGCGCGCAGGTCGGAGCTCCTCGCGGGTCGGCCGGTGAAACCGACTTGTCTACCGTGTCTCACCGCCTCCCCCCCCTGACCACGCGGGGGATTCCGGGGCGTTCCTAGCAGCAGACCCAGCCACTCACCATTTGCATATTCTTCTCTGCCCTCCACCTGATCTGGGGACTGTTGCGACCAAGCAGCGCCCTCTACACATCTCCGACGAGGGGGGACAGGAGACCCAGATTCAGAAATGGAAGGTACTGTGACTCGTTTAAGATGGCCCTTGGCCCTATAAACCCTGCTCTAACAACTCTAGACCCTAAACTGCAGCAAGCTTCCGACCGCGACGAGTTTCGGCCTGAGGCCTTGACTGGCGATGGAGGAGATGCAGATAACATGCTACACTCTTGAGCGCAGCTGTGCTGCTGTAGGGCCCCCCTTAATTCCTCAAAACAGGAGGGCGCAACATGGTGGGCCCTATGCCTGCACCAGAAACCTGTGACGTCCAAACCTTGCAGCCCCAAGACCTAAAGTTTCTTGACGCAATCTTGGCTGAGGTTATAGATGTACGGGTGCAGACAGGGTTTAGGGTGCATGGGGTTACTGGCATCTTGGAGAACAGCCCGTCTCTGGCCAAAAATCGCTTCAAAACCCTTCCAAAGGAGGCTCGTATGAGTTTGTCATGCATATGCTCGTATCGTTCCCTCATGGACTTCCCGCCTAGCGCCTCAGCCGCCCGAAGTCCTAATCCTAGAATACCCCATCCCTTCAAGATGCAGTGGCTCAGAGGCTGGGCCGCACCATGATATGCTGTGACCATGGGACTTCCTTTTGCTTGACATACCGGCAGGGAACAAGTACTTGGACCTTGAAATCAGTGTGCAGACGGGAAGAACAAACAGCACTCCGCCGTCACGCAGCCCTCACGTGGACACAAGACATAAAGCAAACGCTTCCACGTGACCGCCGCAGCGTGCGGATCCATGGCGCGGGGCTCAGCAAGACGAGTCTCATAAAGGTTCGGCCAGCACTGTGCAGGAATAGTCATGCGTTGGATCAAGCGTTTCCTTCAGCCCAGCGCGTAAAAGCCCTCTAAGCCATAATCAATCCCCAATCCCATGGCACCTCGGCTGCTTGTAACGGTCCGAAGGGCCCAGGCCAGTTGCGGGCGGACGTTGAAGATGGGGGGGTGAAGGTTTGCATGTGAAGCTCGGAGTGGTGAGGTGTTTCCTCCTGAGGGGCTGAGTGCTAGTATGATGACGATTATTAGTTACTAGTACTATTATGACCATTATCACGATTATTACTAGAATATCTTGTATGTTTAGTGTTGCAAGAATCACAATTTTTCTACGAGACAACCTATTATTCCTTTGATTGTTTGTATTTTCATTCGTAATACTACTACGACCACTACGATTACTCTACCGCTATTATTATTGTTATTGTTGTCACTATTGTTACTCGTATGGGGTAGTGCCCGACGCTGTCAAACCACGCTCTTCAGTTGCCATCGACGGGCGTCCTGCGCACGGCTCTGTTGGCCGGACACGTCGTGGCAAAGCCCGCCGCCTCCCTGGTGGGTGTGGATTGCTTGGGTTTATTTGGGGTTTGGGTTTAGGGTTTAGCGTTTAGGGTTTAGGGTTTCGGGTTTAGGGTTTAGGGTTTAGGGGTGGGCGTTTTTGGGGGATCCCGGATCCTGCTGCGTTCTGCAGCTTCTAGGCAAGGTTGAGTTGAGCCGCGTTCTGGAAAGGCTCGCCCTCATAAATGGCCAAAGAGCATCTTATTGAGGAATCTGTTTGCAAGAAGGTTCAGACAAGGGCCACCCGCGGACCAGCTGGTAGAAATGATGCATCGAGGGCGCAGCTCTAAGGGCTTCGTAGCCAAGGGTTCGGGGGCGCCACAGGGCGTAGGGCGTAGGGGAAAACGGAGTCCGATGCTCGAAGCCCGTTCCAGGAATTTGTCACAGCTCTGCACCAGGTTGTGGGGTGCACGCGGACGCCGGCATCTTCAAGCCATTCACGAGGGTGCCGTCGCCACGAGCAGCCATAGCGCCCTGAAACTGGTCTAGGCTCACTCTCTAGTAGGGTTAGCTGAAGCAACTGAAGGAGCTTAACTGTGAATTTCGGCATCTTCGTGACATCAGGAGTTCGAGCTTGCATGTTGCAACTGGATGATGATGAGCCCACAAGCTCTGCGTTGCTGGCAGAGCTGAAAGCCCCAGTTCCTGCCCGCTTCGCAGTTGAAGCTTGGCAGAACTCCGTGCGCTCCGAGGGAACCCTGAAAGGTTCCCTTTCGAAAGGGGAAAGGGGGGAGGGGGCAGACCGGACCCCGCTTCATCAAACTCTGGTGCCCTTCGCCTGCACACACACACACAGACAGAAAAATTAAAACAATAAATAAATATATATATATATATGTATACAGACAGATAATCTTTGCATCGGTGCGCCTGTGGGCCGTCGTCACTACTGTCGCGCCTTCGGCTAACTTGTCGTGCATAAAGTGCTTTCATCCTGTTCCTGGCGCATTCGTGCAAGCATTCGTGTCTGCGCGCCCGGCTCTGGTGTTGCGTAGCTCTTTGGGGCGCTTGCCTTCGCAGTGCATGCCTTCACACACGGGACAACGGCCTTGACAAAATCTGTGCGCAACACCGGGGGGGGGGGGGGGGGGGGTTAATAAAGCTGCCTTGAAACTGAGCCTTGTATTTTGTGTCCGTTGAGTTTGTCATGGGACATGTGTCGATGATCGGCTGTCCTTCCAGCCTGCCCTCCCCCTTGCATGCATGCAGTGCTATTAGAGAGCACAGAGGGTCCAATTAAGCCTGACCGCTTTTACACCCTTATGATCCTGAGACCCCTTCCTGATAAGGTATATTGTCGGCGTGCCTTGCAGGCGACCGCCATCCTTCGGTCCCATCGCGGCAGCAGTTGGTGCCATGGCGGGCGCCTTGAAGTTTCGTAGCTCTTTGCTCTGCAGACCTGAGGCTTTAGCTATCTTCATAGCTTTCCGTCTGGCTCTGCTCTCCAGTGCCGCAGTTGCCGAAGAGAGCTGCAGCAGTGCGTTCCTGTTGCCGGTGTGCCAGCGCCTTCCCTCACAATTCGTTCTTGGCAGCTGCTTGGCCCAAAGCCCCACATCAGCAGGGTGTGATTCCAGCCGCGGCGATCGTTACCATGAGCTTCTCCTACAGCCCCCAGTTCTTCTTGCACTTCGCGAAGTACCATGCGCCCCACCTCAAGCCGGGCGAGGAGCACAAAGACCCTCTGGATGAGATCAAACCTCGTTGCTTGTCGAGCTGTTCGGATTGGCTTCAGGAGTACAACTCCTGTGTCAAACGCATCGGCATGCGCACCGACGGCAAGGGCGATTGCAGGGGGCAGTTTGAAGAGCTGACCATGTGCCAAGACCACTGCATCGCGCATGAGATCTTCCATCACGTCAAGTGAGGGGGACGCACCGGTTGACGGGTTGCCGGAATGCACCGGCAGCGGTAGTCTGGTACAGCCAGTGATCAGAGATTCTATATGGTTTCTAAGATCTTGCTTTGAGATGTGCGCAAGCACATTGAGCTGCAGCTGGACGCTCGTGAAAAAAGTGCAGCGCCGCTCCCGTCCTCGCGGCTGCGACTGCAATGTGAGGCAGCCATGTTTTACATCACGCCATACACCCATCACCTATGCATCGGAATATGCAGATTGCCTGTCCCAGGCTCTCGTGGCCGGGTCACGCAAGGTCAGTGTTCGTCTAGGCTGGCATCTTGAGGGGTTAGGCTCGGGGCTTCCAACAGCTCATGCATGCGGTGTTGATCATGAGATGTATTGGGCGTTAGTTTATAGCTGAAAACACGATATGGCCACTCTGAAACACGGCATGCGCATCCGAAGGGGTACTTCGAGGTCAGGAGTCGGTACTCGCTGTGGGGCAACGAAAACCCTGAACCCTAGGGGCCCCGGAAAGCATGAAAGGCAGAAGAGGGCTTGCAGGGAACTTCAGCTAGGCTTTCCTACTTTTGGTGCTGGGTTCGACGTATTGTGCAGTAAGCCCCTAGTTACTAGTTACTAGTTTGAGCAATGTCGCCAGCGAACTCTGTGTGGTGGGGAGGTACAGGTTTATTCTTGCCTGTTCTGCAGAGTGTGGGTCGTTGTGGCATCCCTTGAATTGAGTTTCCTAAGCTTTTGGTCAGAATCTTTTGGTTGGCAAGGGCCTTTCGTCGAAGTGAGCCATGCATAGCTAGGCTGTAGAAAGAGGCGGAGCCCCTTGAGTTCAACTGGAGTGGGAGGCGTCGCGGCAATGAAGGCCTCACGCGAAGCCGCCGACGGCGACGAGGTTGGAAGGGGGCGGGCTGTAGTTGCTCTCCTTAACTATCGACCTGTCTGATGATGGCGGGTCAAAGAACGTAAATCAAGACCCCACAAAGCAAGATTGAAAGGGCTTAGGTAGTGTTGCTGTGCTGTGCTTGAAGGCAGCGTGCAGGCAGGGACCAGGCAGAGGTCCGGCGAAACCCTGATCTCGGCTTTACCTTTTGACCCAATTTTGCGCAGGTGTACGTCAAGTACGAGGGCAGGCTGGCCGAGGCTCCGGATGATTGTCAGCCTCGAAAACAGGTTCGCAAGGCCACTTTTGTGGTCCCCAGGGCGGCTGTTCACCGCGTTTTGCGTTCCAGTTCCTGTGCAGGACGGCACCGTCTTTGACTCGTCAGAAGGCGCCCTGCGACATCATGTGCTTGACAACTTTGCTGTGTCTATTCTCAACCTGGTGCAGCAGAGAGGCTGGAACTGCAGGTCAGCACTGTGGGCGGATACACCTGTAAGAAGCACTATATGGCCCGAAAGGTCATTATGACTTTTGCATGAGGGAGGCGCAACGTCTTAAGCTGTCGCCTAGAACAGTCATTGTCCGACTCAGTGCACATCGACACACCGAGAACATGATGAGCACGAGACTCGCACTAGTACCTTCAAGCCGTCAATCAAGCCTCAGAATCCTCAAACAAGCTCTGTATCAGTGCCTCCAACAACCTTAAGCCATACACCCTCCACGCCTGAAAAGGAAAGGAGCCCCTCTGCTTCATCGTCGGTTCGGGACAGGCGCTCGCGTTGCGAACCCTCGAGCAGAAGAGCCGAGAGCATTGCTAACAGAGAGACTGAGGCCCCACAAGGCAGCCCACCCAAACCCGCGCCACCGCCTGTCAACCTGGGTTAGGCCATCAAAGCCTGAGTTCTTGGTACAATACCAATAAAAAGAATCCAGAACAGAACCATAAGAAGTACTGTATTGTATAAGAGGATTGTTGGCCGTAAATCTGCGGGGTGGCGGGACTTGCGGGGAAGGTTGATGAGCCCTAACAGACTTTAACCGGTTAGGGTTTTAGGGTATCAGAGACTCAAACCCTATAACCCAAAACCCAAAACCCAAAACCCAAAACCCAAAACCTGAACCCAATGCATTCACCAAAGGAGCTAAGGGAACTCGTCCGCCTCAGGTGGTACCAGGCTTCGACCGAGCGGTCAAAGGCCTCAAGGTGCCCTCTGCCACCTCGAACCCCTGAGTCCCTGAGTCCCTAAGGGTTTAGGGTTTAGGGTTTAGGGTTTAGGGTTTATAGGGTTTATAGGGTTTAGGGTTTAGGGTTTAGGGTTTAGGGTTTAGGGTGACAGATGCCCGGCAAGACTCCCCACAGCCCTGGGTGTCAAAACAGGGGGTCTAATTTGTAGGGGCTAAAAAGCGCTAGGGGTTTAGGGTTAAGAGCCTGGGTTCAAAAAAGGTTTAGGGTTTCAGGGTTCAGGGCTATTGGGCTTGGGGTAAGAGGGGGCCTTTCTTTGCTCCTTTGGGAATGGTTTAAGACCCTCAAACCCAAAACCCTGGAGGTTTCGAGCCTGAGGGGGGAAGCCCGATCCGTTCAACCCAGTTTAGGGCTTTCTTAGGGTTTAGGCCTTGCAGAGGCTGGGAAGTCAGGGCCAGAGAGTCTCAGTGAGGTTTGCATAGGGTTTTGCGCTTTACATGCTTCGTGGGGGCCAGGGCCTGAAAACTTAGAAGTTAGAAGAGAAAGGACTGGGTTCATGCCCCCATGGCCGATAGATGAGATAGTCCTGCAACAACGAAGCACCTGAACACCTCAACCCTGAACCCGAGCTCCCCCAAAAAACAATTCTTACATCGTAAGTGCTGTAATTGCTGTGAGCCTAACCCTGCTACAATGATGCCTTGAGAAAAGCGAGGTTGGCGAGAAGAAGACGGTCACCATCGCACCGGAGGCCTTCGCCGAAACCGGTTCGCCTGTTGCAAAAGGGACGAGCATAAGTTTCCAGGCGTGGGGTGGGTTTTCTTTTCGACCTTGTCCTGGGGGGTTTACAAGGTTTGAGGACTGAGAACTGTTTAGGGTTGAGGGACCAAGTGGGGAGGGCCGAGGACCAGAAGAGAACTGAGATGTGCTTGTAACAACCGACCTGTTGTTCCCAGCCAGCCTCGCTTGCCTTGTCGAAGCCTTTTCCCTCCACGTCTCGAGCTTGAGAAAGAAGAGGGCACAAGAGAGACACAGCGAGAGAGGTACAACGAAACAGACAGAGAGAGAGAGAGAGAGACAGGCATGGAGAGAGAGCGACAGAGTGTAGGCTAGAGAAGTTTCAGCCATGGTGTCAGCAACCGCATCTACATCACTCCGGGTTCTCTCCTGGCACCGCATTCTGGATGGCATGGTGAGGCACGTCCTCTGTGGCGGTGGACATCAGCGCTACTTGGTGCTGGTCACCGACAAGTGGACGTTGCCATTGCTGGAAAGAGTTTGTCACATCGATGATCTCCTCAAAGAGCGGATCGCCCTTGTCGAGTCGATAGATTCACCCCGTGAGGCCTTGCCTCTGGATGCCGTGTACTTCTTGGCTCCACGCCTGGAGAACATGGACCGGCTGGTGGAGGAGCTTTCCGCCAAGTCTGCGAAATACCGAAGCTCCCACATCTTCTTCACGCATCGTCTTGAGGATCCTATGCTGCACAGATTGGCCCAGACCCTCGAGGCTGTTGTGAAGATTTCGAGCTTTGCAGAGCTCAATCTTAGCATGTTGGCCTACGACGACCGCTCCTTTCATCTGCAGGATCATGGGGACAGCTTGAAGGGGCTTCTGGGTATTGCTTCTCCAGAAGCTTTCGACCTGAAGCAAGCCGGATGCTGTTTGGCAACACTCTTTGCGACGCTTGGGCAGGAGCCCAGGGTGCTGTGTGCTGCTTCTGGTGGTGCTGAGGGTCTTTGCGAGCGCCTTGCACGAGAGGTTTGCATCAGACTGGAAGAGATGGAGGCAAGGGGCGGTGCTGTCTGGAGGGGTCGCGCATCTTCGGAGGTTTGCTCCTTGCTGATCGTGGATCGTTCGGTGGATTGGGTGCCGCTGCTTCTCCATGACTTTGGTTACGAGGCGCTGCTGTTTGACCTTCTTGGCGGTCAGGGCGCCTCCTTGTCGGATAGCCGCTTTACATTCACAGACAGGAGTGATGGCGCAGTGAGGCGCGTTGTGTTGGGCGAGGAAACGGATGAGCTCTGGAACAGCTACCGTCACATGGCCACTTATGCCGTGAATGATCGGGTTGTCCAGGAAGTGAAAGACTGGAGCCGTAAGGAAAGCAGCATGAGACTGGCAAGAGTCACTGCCTCCACTTCCAGTGCAAGCTCATCATCTACCCAGAAGATGGTGTCCTCTACCCTGAGCACCGTTCAGTCCTTGCCAGAACACAAGGATCGTTTCCGCAAGCTGGAAATTCACAGCGAGATCTGCGCAAGGTTGCAGAACATTGTCACTTCGAAGCGATTGATTGACCTGGCCACACTGGAGCAAGACATGGCAACAGGTGTCTCCAGGAGTGGGGTGCCCCTGAACCCAAAGTCCATCGAGAGAGACTTGCTCATGTTTCTCCAGGATCCGACGCTGGACAACACGTCGAAGCTTCGCATTCTCATGCTCTGCGAGGCCACCAAAGCACTCGAGACAAGTGCAGGGTCTGGACAGCGCCTTGCTGAGCTCGCAGCACCCTTTCTCTGCGCGGAAGACCTGCGCCGATTGCAAAAGTTCGTCGAGGTTGTACGGCGCTATCGAAGCCAGGACGCCGAGCGACGGCGCTGGTCTCGCAGCCGGCGACCCGACGCTGAGCCTGGTGCAGGCTCGGAGCCAGTGAGCCCTCGCAGGGCCCGGCTCTGCCGTTGGCAGCCCAAAATTGCCTCCTTAATCGGCGATGTCGCCGGGACAGCTCTGCCATCACAGATACGCTGCCTCAGGGGTGATGTCTCAGTCGCGGGGCGTGCGCCCGGGAGCTCTGTCGCCATCTTCGTCGTCGGCGGCATCACACTCCCCGAGATCCGCGCTGCCCACGAGGCTGCTGCAGCGGTCCATGGCCTGGAAGCCTATGTCGGAGGAAGTTGCCTACTGACTCCGAACTCGCTGCTGGAAGCATGTGAGGCTTTCCGACGCTCTTGAAATCACTGGCTCGCTGCATCTCTATGTGTGCGAGTTCAACAAGTTTGTTAATGATCGACCTGATGAGCCTCCGGCATCTGCAACGTGATTGCTGTATGTTGTAGTGTGTAGAGTTTGAGAGAGTTTTCGGGATGGTTTCAGATGCCGGAAGGCCCCCTTCGTGTTTTTTGGAGTAGTTTAGAAGTCAAAAAGCCGGAAAGAAGGAGATGTGGGGGAGAGGGAGGTGTCACAAAGCTGATTTGATATGCGGGTGGGGAGCCATCCCACTTGGTCGTGTAGCCCCTGAGCGAGCCTTCGCCTTCCGAAGGATGCTTATGGACAGCGATCGGACGCCGGAGCCATAGCTGCCAATGACAGGGGTCATCAGGGCTGTATAAGTTCAAGATATTATTTCAGGCCCGATTGGCTCGACATAGGGTTTGTTGTATTGACTGCTTAAATTGGGCGTTGTGTTGTGATTTCTCGGATTGTGTTTGACGTTTCCTAGATCTCTTCCAGATCTCCCAAAGCCCGTGCAGAGACCTGCTGGCCGGGTGGCTGGGGTCTTGTTTGAGGCTTGGCGGGCTTCCATATACGGAGCTTGCACAGGGGTGTGTACTGGGTTTCGTAAGTTGAGACTCCATGGAGAAGCCAAAGGAATGCAAGCATCAAGAGGTAGGTACTCGAAGCACCACACTTGAAGCCGCCGGGCTTATAGGCAGCGTAAAGTTTGGGGACCAGAACCGAAAGAGGCTGCCTCCGAAGCCCCAGCTTGTTCTCGACGCTGCTTCGACAGGCCATGATCATGAACATACCGGCAGCACAAGTGCCCAAGGGGCTGGAGGCACAGGGGGGATATGGGAGTTTGGAGCTCTAGATTCTTGATTCCAGGGGCACCCGAATCACAAGCTTTACAATCCCTATGGCCCTATCCCCCACAGACTTGCAAAGCAAACGCTGCCCGCTCGTACTTGCCTGTTCTTCGTGAATTTCATCAAAGCCTTACTACCCAAAGCACCGAAACATCACCGTGCAGCGCCCTACTCGTACTACCTTGAGCCCGAAGGGCAGCCTCTGCTTCAGGAGGGCATGCAAGTGATGTTGGGCGGCGGCCAACAGAAGATGCCAGCGCCGGGGTACCGAGATGGAAAAGTTTCAGAGGAATCCCGAAGCAAGTGTACCACTATCTTAAAAACAACCCATGTCTCCGGTGGTTTTCAAGCTTTGGGCATATTTGGTCCTGCTCAGAACTTGAGCCTTACGTTATACAAAGTACCGCAGCTATTTGCCCACTAGCATGAGAAGTGAGTACCACGAACCTATCACCTGTTCAATCGCCGTCGTACGCCGGTAAGTATCGGAACATTGGACTGCTAGAGTGCTAACCTTTGAGCAGATCATCTAAGGATGGTCAAGCAGGCGCTGGTGCTTGTTCCTTGTGTTTTTGTGGCAGGGGGGTGAAAACGGGTCAGAGTAGGTGCATAGATCCACAGGCACACTGTTCGGAGTGCAAAAATCTAGATGCCCTGACTCAGTACTGGTCGCGCGCGTACTTCCCAGACCCAGGCCCCCACTTTGCTTTCCCCTTGGACCAGGTTTGAGTAATGTAGTGGCACATGGAAGTTTCTCTGCTCCAGCTTTCCTTGGCCCTGCCTTTGGGGCAGCCGGGTCTTTGTCTCATCTCTGGAGCTGCTCTGAGATACTCCACCCGGGATGTCTTGCAATGCTACTGTAAGCGTTGTGGCCTGCTTCCTTGGCGCTTGGCGCCCTCTCAAGATAGACGCTGGCCGATGCTTCAGGATGCGTGCGTTAGCGACACGGTTCTAGGATGCAGTTGTAGAGTTTGGGGGTGTCTGGATCAAGCACAAGCTACAAGCTTTCATCGAGTAACATGAGTCGGAAGAGAGCGGGGGAGGTCCTGGACGACGGCTCTGCCATGCTGGATCTGAACCATCCTCTGGCCGGAAAGGCTGGATAAAAGCAAGCTACACCCCTTGGCAGCCCAGCGGTGTCCTTTTGCAATTTTTTCTCGGTGGTTCTAGGTTCCTATACAGCACCCAACAACAAAGAGGGTAGCCTCATCCTGGGCTACCAAGACCCCAACACCGGGGGCCACCAACCCCCCAAGCCTTCAGGTGCAGCCAGAGGGGTTCTGGGAAGGCTTTCAGGGTGCCTAGCGTCTCTTTATCGTAGGCTACTTGCCTTTTCGGGCCTGGACGGCCTTCCCCCTCAGCTACCAGAGTCTGTGAGCAGGAATCATGCCCCAAGCTCACAGCCGAAGCCCCGAAGCGCAGAAGCTTCAGCCGCCCAAAGCAACCCTCACCGGTAGCTTGCTGTACATGTAACAAGTACGTGATGGGCTTTTAATGGAATATACATATATATTTATATAGGAATCATCTCCATGCGCCAGAAACTCAAGTTCGACATGGAGCTGGTTGGCTTCCGTGACGCGGGGGCCCCGGAACTTGGGCTTCACAGGGGTTTAGAGGCCCTATAAGGCCTTCGCCAAAGGGAAAGCTACAGGTGCATGAAGTGTGACAGAGCGAAGATGGTGCAAGAAGCAACCTCCCTGGCCTCTGGATTCTGGAAGAGGGCATAAGCTGAAACGGGCAGGGTCGGGTCATGTTACTTGGCACGAACGAAAAGCAGAAGAATTCCGGCCCTGCAGGGTCTATCAGCATCCTCTTCGGAAGCTTCATACATCTTCATAGTCCGGTGGCTTCCATAAATCGAACGAAATTCCTCGAAACCGCCATCAGCCAAGCAGGCACTGAGCCTGTTGCGCAGCGCTTTTTCGGCATTTCGACTCAAGAGGTCTTCATTAAACCGGACAGTCCTGGACCTCGAATCCAATTTGCCTGCTTTAAAAGGTGGTCAAGGGAATGGACATGGTGGGCTGGCAGGGCCACACCGTGAAGGCACAGCAGCAAGTCTGCATGATCCCGCCTTTTGGGGCTTCGGGTTTGTAAGCAGTTTCCGGGTTCAAAATGGGCTTCTGTCCCTAAACCCGAAACCCTAAAGGCAATTCTGGGTTTACAGGGTTGAGAATGGTGGTGTGAACTAAACACGCGGGGGATCGATCCACAGGTTCCCTTCGCCGTGGCCAGCAGTCCCGTTAGCACCAGCCCCAGCATGAGTGATCATAAATTATTTGTTTTGGAAATTTGTTTTTTTCGGGAATGACTATTTTACTGCAAATTATTACAGGAATCTTCTTATTAGGTAAAATGAAAGTCTCTGCTTTGCACAGTTTGGGTTTTGTAGGTGGTCTGAGTGGTCAGAGGGGACATCTCAACATCTTCGGGCATCATGGTGTGTAGTCCGGATCGTTGCAACATGACTTGCGCCCGCGGCGCGGCAAAGACTGGCTCGTCATGTGCACATCACGCGCACTATACCCGAATCTCTGAGTTCCCAAGCTGCCATCCCAGCCGGAAATCCACGAGGTCAGGCCTTGAAAGAGCCCAAGTGGCCGGAGAAATGGCCCGGAATCCTGGAAACCAGTGTTAAAACTCGGCTGTTCCTCCTCACCCGCAGTGTTTTGTTTCTGGAGGCGAACAGACGGCAAAGCTGAGATGCTCACCCCAGACACCCCCAGGGGCGTGGTTTCCGGAGTTCGGATGTAGGGAATCCGGATTCAAGGCAAACTGTACTCGTGAAGAACTGCCCTGAGTCCGACCTGAAGAGTGCTTCATTTACGCAGGGCTTATGAGCGCTGGGGCACAGGGTGTTTGGGCTTCGGGTTTTCTTCGAGTCGAATGTCCATGAAGGTGGCGCTCAAGCTTTGTGCAGTTCCTGGCAGCCTGCATCCCTAAACCCCACTAGCTCTCACCGCCCCCCGATGCCTGGTGTGCTGTAGGGTTGTGGAACGTTGCACCTACTCTGCGGGAGCATCCTTTCCGCGGGTTCTTTGGAACGCGGTATCAACTGAGGCCTTACTCGCAGAAAGACTTCTCGAGGCAAGACGAGAGCGATGATGTCGACTTCTACGCCCAGTGGGGCCCTCGGGTTGAAGGAAGGGGAAGGCGGTGTACAAGTCTCGAGTCTAGAGGGTTTGGATGAATGTAAGAAGGTTCAAGATAAAATGCAGCAGGTCTATACAGGCTCTTTGACAGGGCTCGGTGCCCTTTCCAAGGATCGCTTCCATGGCTTCTGAACTCGTTCGGGCTCTCTGGGTGCTAAAGCGCCGAACTGTTTGGGTTTAATGAATCACACACTCGGCAGTCATGGTGGCCGGTTCAGGTATGTTGGCAGGTTGGAGGATGCTTCCCTTGAAGGCCCCGCTTCGTCACCCACATCGACGAAGATGCCATTGAAGCAATCCGCAACTTCTACGACGTGCAGTTTGCCCAGGACCTTTCTGGTAGATGGAGCTTCCGGTGTGGGATTTAGGGTCGCCTCTTATATGGTGGTCTTTGGTTCGGTCAGCTGCTTCTGTGTGGGTCGAGTGCTCATCTAGTAATCTAGTAGTGGGAGCCATAGACTTGCCAACCGTGGTCAGTGGGAATACATCATGGAAGAACGGTCAACTGATGTAATAGCAGGAACGCTGCGGCTGCGAAGCTTTCATATTCATTGATTCCAGTGTAGGTCCTTGCCAGGCTCCTCAGGGCGAGTATAGCGTGCTGGACATCTGCAGCTCGTGGATCAGCTCGGTTCCCCAGCCTTGCGGATCTGCCACTCGAAACCCGGACGCTTAACAAACGAGAGAGAACAGTTACAGTTAGGGTTTCGGGTTTAGGGTTTAGGGTGTTGCAGTTACAGGTGAGGGGGTTGCAGTCGCACCCCTTGTGTTGCGATTCTGCATGTTGGGAGGTTTGAAGGCATAGGATCTCTAAGATATGGGGACCCCCAGTCTCCCCAGCCATAGGGGTTTCGGGTTTAGGGCAAGTTGCGCGACGCCTTCCCAAATGTCAGAATCTAGACTCTGAGCCCATGCGAGTCGGCGTGCCACGAAAAGCCGAAAACTTCTGTACATGCCGAAACCACTTTCGACACCCTCCGAGATGGGGTTGTTGAGGGAAGGGAGAAGGGAGGCTCACTGTACCCATAATTTTCGGGGCATTGGGGGCTTGACTGTCCAGAGCCCAGTATTCAAAAATAATAAGTTAGTTCGCTTAATAGAGTGGATACGGGGCTCCAAGTTCTTGAGATTTCGATGGCACCCTCAGCCCGAAAGCAGCGATGAGGCCACTACCCCGAGAAGCTGAAGGCCAAGCGCGTGGCCATCACTGGGATGGTGGAGCAGGACCCAGAGACCCAGAGGGTTCGGGGCTTTGGGTTTGCCAGAGTCGTTGTGGTTCACCCTTGGCGGTTTTGCGGGTTGGGGGGGGGGGGGGGGGGGGGGGGGAGGGGGTTGGGTGGGTTCTGTTTTGTTTCCTAAGCCATCAAAGCCCTCAATAGGGTTGAGGGTCAAAAGGGGCTTTGCTCCAGGAGCTTGCGGCCAACAAGCAGGCAACCGAGTTCGCTGCCCCATTCTCAGCACGCGGGTGATGTACTGAGCTCGAAGAATTCAACCCGAAACCCTGCTTGTTCGAGTCGCCAGGCACGCAGAGTCGGAGCAGAACCCATGAGCAGCCTGCCTCAGGTTGCGGACCTGAATAAGATGCCCAAGCTACCTTATGGCGACTCTGAGTTTGACTTCGTGACGAACGTGGTGCCTTGGTCTCGTGCAGGCTGTGCAGAAGTCGGAGTCAGTCGCTCTTGAGACTCCTGGTTTCTGGCTTCTAAACTCCAATCCCGGCAGCTGTGTTCGGTTTGTGTACGGAAGAGATGCCTGGTCGTAGGGCGCAGCCAGCTATTGGACCAGCTTCACATACATCCAGGAACGAGCAAGCTTTCCACCCGCAAATGGGAGCATGTTTTGGACATGCCCACCTACCCAAGAGACCCTTTGAAACCTAGCAGAGAGCAGAGAGATAGCATCCTGCTGAAGGTGTGGGTGTTCTGCGTGTCGGAGGGGAGGTGCTTTTGGTTTAACCGTCCTAAGGTGAGCGTGGACTATCTCATCAAGCCTCGAGATGTGCTTGCTGGCGTGATTGTCAGGGATGTGGCTTCTGTCCGACTTCGGTGATAGGTTGTGCCTGAGAATAACCACTCGTGCGAGAGTGAGAGTCGAAACGCCAAACTCTTTAACCTTTCATGGGGAACATTCCGACGCCCAAAAGTCCCTTGTTCCACTGGCAAGACAGCCTGTGAGCCTAGTACCCTAACCCCTCCCCACCCGGACATTACGATCCTAAACGCCTTAAGCCAGAATAGCAAACCCCCAATTCATTGGGCAGGTCTTTGCGGAGATGCATCGGGTTCTGAAGCCAGGAGGCGGGTTGATTCCAGCCAAGTCGGGCATTCTGAACCCCGAGCCCCGGAGGGGGGGGGGGGTTGTAAACTTCTGATTCCCTTCTGCTCATGTTGTCAAGCTACCTGCAACGTATCATTGTTGCATACCGGAATGTACTATAGAATACAGTACAATATACTATACGGTACTGTAAATAATTAATGTACTGATATGATATATCGGTTTAGTGATTTGGACTGCAGGCCATGAGGTTTAACTTTGAGGACGGCATCGGGAAAGTCGGCTTGCAGCTTCACCCGCTCCGGCTTATGGGGCTGGGGAAACATTTTGGCGTTCAACAAGGGTTAAGGGTTTAGGGTACCGAGGGTTTAGGGTTCATGGATGGTTAAGGGTTTAGTATTATCTATATGGGTTTAGTTCTTTGGATCGTGGTTCAGGGCAGCTCTTACTGTTTTGACCTGTGGCCCTAAACCCCTGCGAAACCCCAACCCCCGATAAGCCCCAACAGTCTGAATGCAGAGCCAGCAGAAACAGGACTTACTATGATTAAGCTGGGAAGCCGCAAAGCCCCAACATTGACCGGAAATGCCCAACCCCTATGAACCCTCAAAGCCTTCTACAAGTAACTGCCCTGAGGCGTGGCCATCATGTCCTTCAGCAACCGGTGCTTCTTCACCAAGGCGCAATCAGCAAGCCGGCATACAGGGCACGAGGTTTGGCGAAGGTTTAGTGCAGCGGCTACATGAACATCCCACAAATGAAGGGTGCTGGAGGGGTGGTACATAAACGCGTCCAGCGTGTCATGGGAATCAGTACAGCAACCGAATTGGTTAAGAATGGAAAGTGCCACATGTCCAACTACTGTGAGCTTCACAGGGCTTCCATCAGGCGACAAAGCGTTCGTGCAGGGTTCCGTGCTACAAAAGCGTTTCCAAACTCACCCCAGAAGCAGCAATGCAATACTTCCCTTAAAGGGTTCCTGACGCTTAAGGCCCGGAGGGGGCTCCGGTGTTCCTCAACCGTTTTGTAGTTCCCAAACCTTACACTCTTACGGTCCCCTAAGCCTTATACAGCTTTTTGGAGATTCGCGGCAGGCCATCAACATGTGGGTGCAGAACATGAGCCGCAGCCCCGCAGACGAAGGGGTGGGTGGGGCCTGACTCCAGCACTTGAGGCGCCTGAACAGTGAACCCTAAACCCTTGGTTCGACACTCGAACCAGAGTCCTCGCCCGCGTTTCGCCAGCGTGAGAGTCGAAACCCTTTGTTGTGGGTTTGCTTATTGTTCTGACAACTACTTCAAGGATTGATTGATGAAGAACGTCTCTAAGAACGCCAGACATGGAAACCCTGCTTTGCGGTTCGGCCAGCTATGCGGGAGCGAAAAAAACCTTTTGTTTGCTTGTTGCTAAGCTTAAAGCAGCCATCACGGAACGACAGCACACCTAAGCCCCCCCCAGTTGAGGCGACGGGCCTGGGCACTGCCAAATTGTTTGGCTCTGAGCTCTTTGCTTGTCTGCCCTCTAAACAGCCCAAGGCCCCGTTAAATCTTCAAGGTAATCTGGACACAAGCTATTGTGGCTTTGACATCTGGTAGGACGGGGCTAGTATTGGGGCTGGCAAACTTTTGTTATTTGTTGGTGCACGACGAGACTATTAAGTGGATGGCCTTGGTAATTCATTGGGATCGTTAATTGTAGTGCCTAAGCCTTGGCGCCTTTTCAGAAATCTGGAGACAAAGGACATGCCCCCGACATGTGACCATCAGAATATTTGGTTGTGCGCTTTGTGAATTTGGAACCCTCTCGGGGCTCCTACTCGGAGGTTCATGGTACTTAGTAACCCGACTAGAACCGTAGTAGGGTACTTGAGGGGCTTATGTGTGGGTTATGACTGCACTTAAAAAATCTTAAAATGGAATACCCTGAACCTCCAAGTAAACCCGCTCTCAAGTGAGGGCACCGAGACTTGGTGCCCATTGAAGACCCCTGGATGCATGCGCCCGGACGTTGGGGCTTCGCAAGAGCTCTGGGGCGGGGGGTTGAGGCCCTAGGAAAGGAGCCTTGTGGTATCCTTTGCCACTCAGCACGCGAGGTTGGAAACTACTTCCACTTCAATCCCACCGGAGGATGGCCAGGGGCCCAGAGAGCCAACTCACACTTGTCAGAAATTGTCAGGGTTTATAGGGCCGCGTGTTCTGTGGGCGTCGTCCATGGTCCGGATAAGTGCCTTGCTCTGGGCATCCACGTGACCACAGCCCTGACAAGTATGAGCGGTCTTCAGAGCATCAAAAATGCTCTGAGGGTGTGGCGGTTGCGAGTGGTCCTTGAAGCTCCAAATCCAAAACTCGCCTCGTTCATTCAAAAGACCAATTGCAAATACAAGTCGGCTTCAAATGTCTCAAAGAGTCGGGAAGTTTTGCAGAGCCTCGTGTTCCTTTTCTTTTTGGGTGAGGGCTGCAGAGGTCTTGCGTGACAACGCTCCAAGTTCAACAGCCTGAGCGATCCAAGTTCAGACCCTAAACTCCAGGAAAGACATTCAGTCGGTGGACATCAGCAAAGGGCCGCCTGGACCCTGGCATGGTGATACAACGCATGAGTTCCACCATACGGCAGTGTACACAACAAGACCATGCCCTTGCACAAGAGATCCGAGAAGCAGGGAAGCTTTTGGCGAATTAAAGGAGACCGCTAAGAATGCCCAGGGATTCCATCACACCGGTAGGAATTGGCTGCGTTAATTTTATGGGGTTGACCTGGCGAGAGTAGCCACAAGTACTGCAGTTGTCACCGTACCGGATCAAGTTGAGCGCTAGCACACAGACAGACAGACAGACAAAAGTTTTTCCCCCAAAACACGAAGAGGTATATATATATATATGTATATACACACATCTATATATACATATATATATATACTATACAGCTTTATTATTACTGTATTTACATACGTACTTAATTGTTTTTGGACCCATATTCATAAGAATGTGCCTTTATGTATTTCGACACTTCCGATACGTTCATGTGTAATTGGTTTCGCTACTAACTATTCTCCCCAAGAAAGCCCATATATAACCTTTGTACAAATACATACATATGTATATATGGAGGGTGCGACGTAACGTTTCGCTTGGCGGTTGTGAGGCGTTCCAACCCGATGTGGGTAGTCACGGCAGTGAAGGCATGATTCTGCGCTGCCGTGGCCCAACAGTATGTTGGCCATTGATGGTGTTCAGCCAGTGTGGGATACCTTCCAATTGCGAAGTTTCCACAGATAGCTCACAGCAACAGGTGATGGAGCGCCTGATGACTTTCAGTAACTTTAAACAATATGAAACGCGCCGTAGACTGCAGCGCAATTGTTTGTAGTTTAGTTAATGTCCGACCAGCGTGTGGTTGGACACTGGGCTGAAAGGGCCCTCTCTGCGGGGGTTTCCGGAATCACAGGTTCTCGAATACAGATACCATGCAGCTTTTGCATCGGAAACCCCTGCAAAATCATATAGGATGATGTTAGAAGTACGCATGGTAGTGTGTCGCTGCCTGCCGACGCGAAGAAAAGCGAATCCGAGCGATTGGAGGGCGTGGCCATCAAGCAGTGCAAAGCAGTCGTCACTGCTCACCCATGCAAACAAAATGACGAAACCCCGTGCCCGATGCCCTGTGTGAAGTGGAAGAGATCACGGGAGATTGAGTGGGCTGTGGTACGGGTTACAGTAGAAGCTTGCCCAATCTCTGCCCTTTACAGCAGATGTTCAAAAAACCGCTGAGCCCACGAGAAAGTTCGACATGACAACGCCTGTAAGCCCTACACTTAGCCAATCTCCAAGCGAATGCATCACATGGTCGGCTAGGTCTTTTGAGCCATAGAGTCATTGAGCAGCAAGTCTGTATCAGAAACTCAACGGCTCCCAAAGTGCAACGGTCCCTATCGTCCTGAACCCAACCCTCGGGGCAAGCTCGTGCACGGGCATGCAGATTTTGTGTTTGAACTCAGGGTCCGGGATGATGAGGGCCAGTTCGGAGGCATGGGGTTCATTAATGATGTTCTTTGAATGTAGATTCTTAGAGGCTACTAGAGAGGATACTCGGGGAATCTAGGCTTGTGCTGCGTTGTGAGCAGTTATGGGGTGAGTCGGCTCAAGATCAGACACCCCATTGACACAAGGTTTCCCTGCGCACTCCGCCTGGAGCAAACACACTCCTCAGGTTTATGGTTGATAAGGCTCGGACATGGGTTGCGTACATGCACGGGGTTACAGATGACTTGGGTGACATCCTCTTGACAGTTGTCGGTCGAGAAGTATGAACGCGTGAACCACGAGTATTGTCATTAAAAAAGCCGCCTGCAGAGTACCGCACTCCATCCAAGAGTGAGTTATGAGCAGCAGCTCCGCTTCCAGCCGCCTGCTGCCATTGGTGGCAGGTTTGGGCCTAGCATGTCGGCATCATCAGCAAACTCCGCAAAGCTCTGAAAGAAATGCCCCCGCTCGACGTTGGAGAGGGCTCTGCAAGGCGAGATGCTGGACCAGCTTCGCTGGCCCCTCGTCGAACTGCCAGACTCCTGCAGAACCCCAGGCGCTCTGCCGAATGCGGAGTGACGACCCCAGCCATGTGCTGAAGTGGCATCGAGCCGGGGGAGGGCTCCTCGGGCACTCTTGGCGTTCTTGGAATTTTCAGCTTCGGCTGTAAGTACAGTAGGCAGGTGCCCCATTAAGGATGAGACAACCCGCCACTGTAACTCCAATCTAGTACTGAACCACACGATTTGCTTTGACAGTTGGTACAATCTGGATAGCAGAGCCGAGATTTGTGCACGATGGCGTCCAAGCAGTGCAGCTGGAGGGCCTTGGTTGGGGTCTTGTGGCCAATGTGGGCATTTGCGCCGACACGGTCCTTGCCACCGGGCTGTCTCTTTAGTGTTGCGGCTTGGGGGTCATGGAGCCGGGCGTCAGTCAGTTGAATCAGACAGATCCCACCGTTTGATCGCCATGTCACCCCACAAACGCGAAAACAAGGCCTGGACACTGCAACCTGAAGCCCCGAGTTCAGGGTGCGTGTGACACGTGTGCAAGAAGCCACGCTGAAGATTGACGAGGGGATAAGACATGGTTCGAAGACCTCCTGGGGTTAAATGGGTTAGGGTGGCCACCGGAGTCATTCAAGAGCTGCAGGTGACAACGCCTGAAAAGCTCCTGTGCCCGGGGCATTCCTGGCAAGCTTTTGGCTTTGGCTACTGTATCCCAAGAGGGGGGTTAGCCTCGAAGCCAGACGAACCCCCAAAACCCCCAACGGATTGAAAGCCTTTTGAGCTCAAGCCCACCATTAGAAACCTTATGGTAAACCCGAACATCGAACACGCTACTCCCAAAGAACGAAGTTCCAAAGGTGGACGGCGCGCGAGTCACAGGCCCCTCCTGTCGAGCCTCTGGCGCCTGGCGAGCAGCTGGCGGGTGCCTCCATGTTACTCAGGCACGGGCCTGGAGGGGGGGATGTGGCTGGAGTCTTAAAGAGATTCGTCAGAGTGTCTGGGAAGGGGGCAGCTTGCGACACCAGGGCCTGGGTGGCTTCCCACCTCGTTTCGCACGTGTGTTAATTAGGCATCGTTTTCTGTTTTCAGCAAGCATCGCAAGTTCGTTGAGTTTGGTGGATGCTGCCGATATGAGTCAGGATCACGCCCTGCATCGGCTGGTACAGGAACGTCTGTAAGGCCATCTTTGCCTTCAGCCATGGCTTTCGTGCAATCTCGCCTGGCACCTTTGCCACGGGTGTTCCTCACCTTCCATGACGAGTCTTCAACCGATCAGGGCACGCTCCGTCGCTCCAGAAGCTTTGCCGACTTCACACCGTACGACCTCGGAGACACCAACTCCACGCTTGAATCGAACACCTTTGGCGAGAATGTCAAAGATGTCAATGAGGCTGCCGAGACCGTACTTGCGGACGGGCCAGAAAGTGCCTCTGCAGATGTGATTTGGCCAGACACCGATGCCGAGGACGAAGATGCGGAGAACTGCAAGGCTGGGCAGCTGCTGGACGGGTTGCGGCTCGCCGCGGTTGGAGGTCCACAGCAAGTCCCACGGCAGCTCGTCATCCTGAACTCGTTGTTGCAGGGCCCGGCGAACATGAACACGGACCTGAAGCCGTTGGCATCTCCACCGAGCTTGACCCCAGACCCGGTGAAAGTCAGGAAAGCCCAGGATGCTGGCCTCAAGGCTTTGCGAAAGGCTCGAGCCATGATGCCCGCTGTGGATATGAAGCCGACACTGCCACAGGCCCGAGGTCGTCGAGCTTGAATCCTTGGAGATCCGACATCAACGGAGCGCACAGTGGGAAGTCATGGCTGAGACAAAGACGGGTTCATGAAGGTTTCAGGAATGTGTAGCACCCGCATTATCAGTCCCCTTCCTGCTTCAAAGCTACTTCGACTGCTGGGTTTGCCGTTGTTGGCAAGACTCCGGTCTCGAATAACAGCAGACCTCTGGCACAGGGTGCTGAAGTCAAGCTCCCAGCGTCAGGGGTCTTTTGCGACTCTGCTCGCTCTTCCACGACGGGGCACCCTGCACCTAGACCTAACTCACCGGGCAGAACCCATACAACGAACCTTCGGAGGTTTAGTAGTTTGCGAAACCGAATCAACTGACACCCCACCAGAGCGCACAGAGAGCAGTACTAAATTGTTTGACCTATTTAACGCACAGTGCGGATGATTTGACAGTTTCGAGATCTTGCCAATCAGACTCAAAGAGCTTCTTGGCGTTGCTTTTCAGCAAAGGAAGGCCGCAGCATGACCTTGTGCGACGTTTCAACATGGCCATCTATGCTAGACTCAGCGCGAAATGCGTGCGAGTCCTTCCTTCGCGTTTGGCCAGTATGGTCATCAGTTCCCTCCTGAGCGCAAACCACTGGATTCTGCGCCAGGGCATGTCAGCTTGACGACTGAGTTCTTAGTGATTGGGCACAAAAGACCACTGCGACAACTAGCGCGGTCAGTCTTCCCTTTGCTTGCGATTGCATCACCATCCGCTGAAGACCACAATAACTGGACCTGGATCATTTGAAAAACAAAAAGGCAGATAGTTGAAAAGCATTGCCCCCACATACCAGCACCCTCGCGAAATGCATTGATCTCAGAGATCTAATCAAAATCACTCTGCAACACAAGTAGCAAGTACTTTCCACCGCACCCAAGAACAGGCGCCGGCTGGTGGCTTCCGTAGCCAACCCTACTCCCTTTGTCAACGCTATGCAGCCGCCCGCAAGCTCCCAGGGAGCTTGTGGGAACTTTTTTTGATGGGGGCCCTCACTTTTTCACGGATTTCTATGACAAGCTGAACATGTTAGGATTTAAGGAAACAGCCCAGGCATTCCCTTGCAGTTGGCCGCGGGGGGCGTTATTGCAGGCCCACCAGAGGCCGTCACCTGCGCCTTGCAGGGCACCTCCCTCCTGCGCCACACCCTCTCCTTGCGCGCAAAGCTGCTTGAAGCAGCACCTTGTCTGACATGGAGGCCTCACACTTTCAATACGATTTTTTAATATTATTCATATGAATATTACTCAAGGACCAGAAACATTGACTCCCAGGCTGAACTTGAATGCAGAGTCTAAAGATTCAGATGCTGAAGCCTTTTTTTGGAGGGTCCACTCCTGGTGAAGGTAAGCTCCGAGCTGAAAGATGCCAAAAACGGCCAGAGCCTCTGGGAGATTTGCGTCTGGGCGCAGTCAGTGATCATGTCGCGGGGCTTCAAAATCCCCAAGGGCAGCGATCGGCTGGTGCTGATCCCCATCGTGGACATTGCCAACCACGCGGCCACCCACAAGGACGCCAACGCCGATGTCCGGAACAACCTGGATGGCAGCATCTCAATGGTGGCATGTCGGGACATCGCTCCAGGAGAGGAGATTCGCATCTGCTATGGCGAGTACACCAACGAGCAGCTCCTGTTCTGTTACGGCTTCGTCATTCCTGAGAATCCCTGCCAGGGGCTGCCAGCATCAACTTTAGAGGTTTTGTTGGGGTGGGATGTGGGGTGAGATGCCATCCCGGCCCACCGCATGATCTGAGGCTGGTATGCCCCTTGCAGTTCCCCGACACCCCCAAGAGGGCCGAGCTACTGCACCACTGCCTCAGCCACCGCCGGCAACTGGCACCACATCCACTTCCTTCCAAAGCCGGCCCCCTCCTCTACCGGGCCAAGGGCGCTGCAAATTCAGAGCTGCTGATGGCTCTGAAGGCGCGGGAAGCAGAGCAAAGCCTACCATCTCCTCCCCTGCCCCCAGCAAATCCAAACCATCCCGGAGACTCCCATGCAGCCTCCCGAAACTCAAAGGTCACGAATCTGTCAGAGGAGCAGGCACACGAGCTTTTGGAGGAAAAGAGCTGGGAATCCCCCTTGTTGCAGCCAGGACCCCAGGAGCCCAGCGCCGTCTAAGAGTGTTTCTGCACGGGTGTACGCGCGTTTTGTAAGGCCATATCATGGTCAACAGTACGAGGGTTCAGGATCTTGGTGTACAAGGAAGTCAGGAGTAGTGAAACAATGAAGTGAGGTGAGATGAGTGCTCGCCTTGTGCGCTCCTTTTGTTGGCTCTCTTCGCTTCTGTCTTTCATGCTGTTCCACCTCGTGTGCATAGATAAAGAACGAGGTCAGCGCATGTCAGCTCAGTGAGCATGCATGTGACAGGTTGCCTAGAAAACTTGTCATCTTTCTTTGATGATGTTGTTTTTTCGGAGTTCCGAGCAAGTGTAGGGTTTCGGCGCTCAGGAAGGGCCTCATAAGCGGCCCGAGACATTGAGAATGTTGTCCGGATCATGTCATCCCTTCTGCCCCTCAAACATGAACACAGCGCCCCTCCCCCAAGCCCTTGAAGAGGAGTGGGTGGATGGTTTAGCCTTCCTGGGCGCTTGGCGTCGCGAGCTCCCCAACTGCTACGTCGAAGGCGAGGCCTTCGGGCCGTGCGGGCAACTGCAGGACCGCGGGGCGGGAAGGGGGAGGAGAGGGGGGGAGATGTCCCGGGCGAAGCTATCCCAAACCCCCTGAAGAGAAAAGCCGGCGTGTACATCAAGGCCTTGAACCAACGGTGCACCAACAAAGGGCAGCACCAAACCGGTTCTTTTCATCGGGACTTCAGAAGTTAGGTCCCTTATGATTCCTTATAGAGGGATATATTGGGAGATATGAGGTATCCAATTCCCAATTCCCTGCCAAGAGCTACTCGTATCACAAGAAGAACAGAAGACCCAGGCAGAAGCCAGGGCACTGGTAGAGGAGGCCATGGCGCAGACGGCGGCCTCGCTACCGCTACCCCTCTATCTGAGGCGCCCGAGCTGTTGATATCCGGGTGGGTGGAAAGAGGGGCTTTAGGGTTTGAGTGGTTTTATGCGGACCTCGGACGATCGTGCCGTCGGAACACGTCCCTTGTTGCTGTGCATGAGCTTCTGAGACTCTGCCTCAGGTGGAGGGTTGAGCGCGCTCTCTCCTGGGCGGTCTATGGCTAGCGGTGGCCAGGGCGACTTCGGCAGAATTTGAGCAGAGATCTCATGAGCTCAGATTTGGGTCCATCCTCCACCCGAATCCAGGAAAGCCCCTGGTTTGCATCGAGTCGGAGCGCATGCTGGCCCAGCGCAACGGTGGGTGTGGCTGGGCGCGGCCTTCCGCAGAATGCGCACCGCGGCCCTCAACGTGATGTATTCTGAAGGCCCTGCCAGCTCGAGCCTCTCCAGCCTCCGCTGAGCCCAGCCGATCGTAAACAACTGTGACAGGACTGCGGGGTGTCTTTGAGATGCCGTATTGGGCACAGGAAGAACTCTTCGCCCAAAACCGAATAAAGAAGGTACCATGCGTGCATGCATGCTTGCATGCTTGCATGCATCTGCACTCATTGCTTCATGTCTTCGTGGATGCTGACAGCCAAACCTGGGCTCACAGTGCTGTTGATGAAACTCGAACTTTCGACTGCAGGGCGGCAACAAACAGGCGACACGAGACCACACGGATCCCAGATCCGGAGCCATGGGATATCAGAGCCATGGCCATGCATGTGGTGGTCTCGATGGAAACTGCCCCTGGGCAGCAAGGATTCCCTTGGAAGGGTTCAGGGCCCAGCGTTTAGGACATATACGCCTACCTAGTGCCTGATGCGGTGCAAAAGACGTGTGTGAGGAATGATGAGGGAGCGAGATTGTTATAGCTTAGGACCTCACTGGCAATTCGTTAACTGACTTGGCGGAAGCTTGCCCTGCAAACCCCAAAACCCTAGATGTCTGAACGCTTAGCAACCCTGAGCCCGAAACCCAGCACCCCCGCCACCCCTCTCACTTCTGTTGGGGAGGCGGGCCTGAGGAGATGTCGCCAAGCTAGAGTCACCTAGCAATTTTCCCTAGACTTTGCGCAGAGGAGGCGCGCCCGTTAAACCGCATAAACCCCCCCTCTGGAGGGCCCCAGGGCTTTACCCCCCTCTCCCCCCTTGCGAATTCCATTGGGGTAGCCCCGGGTCTTTAGACCGGAAGAACCCTCCACCGAGTCCATTTGGGGTTGCAGACCTGCCTGACTGTCTCGAGGACTTGATAAACCCCCATAAAACCCATCAACCCCCATAAACCGCATCAACCCCATGAAACCCATAAACCCCCATAAACCGCACAAAGCCCCATAAACCCCTCATAAAGCCCCATAAACCTCCATAAAACCCCAGAAATTCCATAACATAACCCCCCCCCCCCCTCCAAAAAAAGACCATAAACCCCAAACCCCGTGAACCCTACGGGCCCTGCGCGGGTCGAGGTGGGCGACGATGCTGCGGAGCCCTTCTTCACGGGCACCTTCGGAGGTTGCCAGAGGGCCGGGTTCCAAGTTCTGGGGTTTAGGGTTTATAGGGTTCAGGGTTAGGTTTTAGGGTTTAGGGTTTAGGGTTTAGGGTTTAGGGTTTAGGGTTTAGGGTTTAGGGTTTAGTTCAAAGTAGGTCTTAGGTTGGGTTTATCGGGCATATCAGATTTATAGGGGTTATAAGGCTTATAGAGGTCTTTCGGGGCATCTGGCGCTCAGGGTTTAGCTGTCCCACTCCGTTGCTTTCAACATTCCAGGCAAGAGTCGTGTTGCTGGTTTTGTAGTGTGGACTCTTGACCTAAGCCCTAAACCCTGACCCCATGTCTGGGCTTCAGGTTCAGGACTTAGGGTAAACCAGGCCTGGGTCTTCAGCTTGGGCCTTCGGATATTCATGGGTGGCCTGAGATCCCCTGACCCTCTTTGGTTTTGAGCTCCTCCAGAGATCGAGGATTGGGAAGGCGAGATCGGGATCCGCTTCATGGCGGAGGCCACCTTCGTGATTACCTCACTGGGCCGGCAGCTGGGCTCACTTGTTTTGTTCGGGGGTTCTTGAAAGGCTGTTTTGTCGCACGTAAATTTGTGCGAGCTCCCTCGCCCCACCCCCCCGCCGCCCTACATCAAACACGGGTGTGTTGCGTGTGTGCGTGTGTGCTACAGAGGAACCCTGAAATCCCGAAGCTTGAAACCCTGAACCCTAAACTGCTCTACAGAAGTTAGTTGAGGCTCATGCACCCCACTTCCCCCTTCCCAACCAGATCCCCAAAACCGATTGGCTTGCGGTCAGGGTTTAAGGTTCTGCTTGGGGTTTAGGGTTTAGGGTTTAGGCACAAAGGTTTCGGGTTGTGCAAGTTCATCAGACGGATTGCCACGCCATGCATTCGCATGTTACTTGGGATAGTTGGTGAGATATGCTGAAGTGTGCATGTCCTAAGCCAGCATCGGGTTACGTGGCTTGACCAGAGTGAGGGCATGCACGTGTGGCAGCTTTATGATGAGGACAACCTCGGTAGAATCTGGTTCTTCGTGCAGCACTTTCGTATGAGAGCCCTGTTTTGGCGGTAGCTTTCACAATGGAGGCCGACATGTATGACGCGCTTGCACCCTTGATTCGATCTTTGCATCATCTGCTCATTGAAGAGTTTCACGGTTGAAATTGCTTCTCGACGCTGGCATTGTCGGCTAGAGTCGCGCAGTCCGTGCAGTCAGTAGCACTGCTCCTCTGTTCATGTGGTGTGTCTTGAGGGCCGCAACTTCCATCCCCAGCCGACTGCCCAAGTCCGGATGCAATAGGGTTTAGGGTTTAGGGTCTGTGTCACGGTTCATAATCTTGGCATGTTTTTTTTGCGTTTTCTTGCGGATCTCAGCCGGGATTGCCGGGATTGGCTTGAATTGTCTTGTGCTGCTCAGAAGGAAGAGTGCAGTGAACTATACCTGCACATGTACCCTGGGTAGTCTCGAGCCAGCTGACGTCAAGAGTCTGGGTCTCAAAAAAAATGGTTTAGGGTTTAGAGTTTAGTTCGTCCCAGGCAACCAGTGCAGCAGTCCCTACCCCCAAAACCCTAAACCCTACACCAACAGAAGAGTTTAGGTGTTAAGGGCCCAGGTATGTGGGAGACAAGGAGGCCCTGGAGGAGGAGCGTGCCGCGGGCCGAGGTTTGGAGAGGTTTTCTGCTCCTCTGCAGGAGTTCCTTTTGGCGAGTAAGGTCTGCGAAGGGTTTAGAGTTTCAGGGTTTAGGGGTTTTAGGTCTTAGGGCTTTTTAGGTATAGGCGTTTAAGGGGGTCATCTTAAGGCAAACTTTCGAGTGCGTCTTTTGAGGTAGGACATGACAGTAATGTTGTGTTGTGTTCGTTCACGTCCTGTGCGCAAAGCGAATGCATGCTTTCAGTAAGAGAGGTACTTGCAGGCGTATGATTTCACTCGAACTTGGTCCGGGCCTGAAAATTAGCAACAGAGAATCACAGAGAATAGCGAAAATGGCAGTACATAAACCCACCGTTGCAACACCAAGTTGTGCTTCCACCTATGGTGCTGGCGAGTAGCTGGGGGCTTCAACCGATCCCAATTGTGTACTGCCCTTGCGTGTCACTGCGGTTGCCAGAACTAAGTGCTAGTGTATCAGCAAAGGTGCCCCTAGCCCGCTGACCCCCCCGACTTGTGACCTGCGATCTATGCCTTTGCACGGGGGTGACTCCTTGCGTGATGGCGTTTGGGGGCCGGCTTTAGCCGGCTGTGATAGGTCTTTTTGGAGATTGATCTGTGTGATCTTGTCTGTCGTGAACTAGAATAACTAGAACCCCGGAAGTAGTTCAGCATTTGACGCGCATACTGCTCGAATTGTCCCTGCAGAGCTGTTGCAAAAAATATGCAAAGCTGCGACGGCCAGAAATGAACATGTCAATCTCACCTCCAAAAACAATGACAACCACAAGCCTGCGTACATCTCAAACATCATCCCAATCGTTCAACGCCGCATCTCGACCTCAAACCCTAAGCCCAGAGCAGCTCCTCTCAACCCTCCCCCCCCCCCATCCCGCCGTTTCTTCCGAGTTGGTAACCTTGTGGCTCGCGGAGACTGAGACCAAGCTGGCCTCGGTCGAGGACACGCGGTGGCAGGGGCTTTTGGGGGGTTTTGGGCTCATTTAGGTCCGAGATAGGGCATTGATTGGATGACTTCGGGACAGGGCAAGAGTGAGTGTTCGGTAAGCCTGGCCCTAAAGGGGGCAGCAGAGGGTTTAGGATAGGGAAGAAAGGGCCGTATTAGGAGTAGATTAAGGGCAACCTCTTTCGGGCCCATCCTAAGCGGTCCAAGTATGACTCCCCTGAGTCGTCAGAGGCCTGTTGCCTTAATTGGGCCCATGCTAAAGAAGGTCTCCGGAGTCTGACACGCGAGGCGTTGATCGCATGTACAATGGAAAGAAGCATTTGCTGCTGGATGCCTTGCGTTTTGAAGCTTTGAACGACTTGGTGGCGTTTTCTTGAAGGTTGCCCCCTTGGACTTCCTACTCCGAACCCCCGCAACCCCCCCACGCCTCCGGAATGAACACAACCCAGTGCCAACCTCTCCTCACCCCATGCGCCCTCAACCCATGATCAAAGAAGGTGGGTCCAAGCTCACCCATTAGCGACGGCTATGCCTACACGGAGGCGACTCTTTAGCTGCTAAGCTGTGGTTCCAGAGAGTCATCGGGGAGCCTGTTGAAGCCGACCTGCAATGTGTACTATAGGGGCCGGAATACTAACTAATAGTATAATTACTCTTGTGGTCCCTATATAATATAATATCAATTTTATTACTATACTAACCCCCACAACCCAATTCTGATCGTTAAGGCCCCTGCATTGGATGTTTCTGCATACCGACCTACCTGGTCTTTGTTTGTTGCCGAAACAACAAGCTCACCCACAGGCTCTGGCGAAGCAAATTCGCCCACGGCCTTTTGCTTTCAACCATTCTTCGACCCATTCCTGAAACCATGCAGAGGGCGGCAACAGGAGGTAGGAGTTGAAGTCCCACACCTGAAATGGGCCATCCTCAGAACAGTGACACAAGATCACCCTCTAACACCAAACTTCCTAAAGTCCCTTCATGATCGCTGCCAGGTCTTCCCTCGTGTGATCGTGCGGCTGGGTCGGGAATACCGACTCACGCAGACGTGCCGGTGTCACTGGGCCGCCTGAACACGCACGCTTATTGCGCAAGAGAAACGAGATGTATAATGTCTTTTCGCTTTGCCGACCTCTTCACTTCCCAAACCACGGCCTTTCTTGTGAGGGATCATCTGTAGGTTCTGCTTTCATGCTGCTTTCCTACTTGAGGGTTTGTATGCCCAAACACCCACAGTTCAACAATTCAGCCCCCGATCCTAGATGAACATCCCAGAACCCAATGGGCCCTAGAAGCCTACCATAAGCCCCGAACAGCAACAGGTCACATGAAGGATGCCTGGCCCGACGCCGCTGACATTCCCACATCGGATAGGGTCGACCAGCGCTTTGCGAGGCCCGGGTGAAAAAGGGGCTCATAGGGCTTTGACAGGGCTTAGGCGCCTCACAGGTTTTCTTGGGAAGATGCGGAAAGGTTGTGGGGCTGAAGGCTTAGGCATGGGATGCCATTTCAGGGGGTTTGGAGCTCAGGTCCCAGTAAAGAAAGTCCCGCAATCGCCCTCCCTTTGCCTCGCCGATCAGGTTCTTGGGCGGACGCTCGGATGCAGAAGTGACAGCGAGACAACTCACCCAAAGCACCCATTCTAAATAGGCTCCTTAAATGACACACACTCCAAAATGGCCCTTCAGGAGCATACGATTTCCATGGTGGCTACCCCTCCTTCTGTGATGCGGAAGATGGTCGTCGGGCCGGGCGGCCTGCTCGCAAGCTCGTTTGGGAGCTCTGGGCTTAGGGCTCTGCAGTCCGCATTGCTATGCAAAAAACTCACGATCACGGGAACGATTTCCCGAGAGACGTTCCTAACGAATGGTTGCGACGCGTTGTGCGGTGTGTCCAGCGGGCTTAGGGTAAAACTTGAGATTCTTGGCCAAAATAAGCTGGAAACCAAGATTCGAGGATTCAAAGTGTATCGTCCGTCATTGGCTAGTGGCGGTTGTGTTGGGAGTGCTCTGTTGGAAGGGTCGCGAAGTCCTACTTTGTCCTTTGTTCCGGCTATGCTAGAAGTCCTGTGCAAGTCACTAGCAAGCAGGCAGCAGGTTTGAAGGACAGTTGTTCATTCGGCACACTCCTCGTCCGAGGATGCTGAATTTCAAGGCCGTCCCGGGCATTGCCGCTGGGAATGCAGAAACAGAGTTAAATAGAGGCATGTGGAGCGTGCACCGTCGTAGTGCTGTTAGCACGCAGCGCAAGCCCTAAATCAGAAACTGCACGTTTAGGGCTAAGAGTCTGACCAGTTGGAGCAGCAAGACAATAGGCTTTAGGGCTTCGGGATGGTGGCTTGGCTGCACCACTCCGGGCTTAATCATCGGGCTCATGGGCCAAAATGGTGTTCCACAGAAATGGCGAGCTCTTCAGATGCAAATGCGTCGTTGGAGGGTCTGGCGAGCTCCTCTTTGACCAGTTTTCCGGATTCATGCGCGCTTGAGTAACAAAGGGTGCAACATTGCACGGAAGACGTTCCCATGACCTCCACAAGCGCTTCTCGATGCCAGTTGGTAGTTTGTCCCTAAAATCAAAATCTCTAGCGTTCCGGGCTGTGGCGGTAATGGTTTAAGAATTGTTCTGGGCTGTGGTGACAATGGTTTAAGAATTGGGCCGGCACGCAACATGCAGAATTGGTTCTAGGCGACGTTGCCTATATGTCCAGAGATGACTGTCTACGAGCGCCGGCCTCAGTGTATCGCAGCTTTCGGTATCGCGGTGAACTCTAAATACCGACCGCAAGGCCATAGGAACTCCGAGCAAATAAGCCACAGCTAGCGAACTAGCAATGAGGCCCATCAACTCCTCCCGGCGAACCTAGGCTTAAGAACTTCTATTGGATTTAGACAACCCCATGGCATCCTTCTGCAATATGACATCACCTGTTGTAGTCGGCACACCCTTTCGTGCTTGCTGACAGCCAGAATGACCTCATTTGCTTTGTTCAAACCACGGCTCCAACTCAATGCCGTGCTTCTCTTCGCGTCCCGCAATAGGCGAGGCAATCATGAAAACACATGAAATCCCTCAGTCAGTTGCCGGCTGCAAAATGCCTGCAACAACTAAACCCAAAACCCTACGATGTCATTGCTTCCTGCTGCACAGTGCGAAGGCATCCGACATGGCATGTTCTTTCTTCTGACCTTCCTGGCCTGCCAAGGGGGCGGGAATCAGTAGGCCTCAGAGGTGAGCCATTCCGAACACTCGCGCAATGAAACCTTCACAGACGCTGCTATGCAATCCGTCCATCTGACCTCCGCAGAGGTAGCCAAAACTGGCCTCAAATCCACTGCCACAGCACATGGCCTCCGGAGCAAACGGTTTAGTTGATCATGTGACGTCACAGCACAAGTGGGAACCCTGCCCACGGTCGCAAATTGGCTTGCTGTTTTCGAAAAAGTGTTTCATTTTGCACAAACAAGCCTAAGTAACCCGAAGCTGTTGTCACTCCGTGTGCAGACAACCGGAGGCTGAAGCAACAGCTTGAGACCGTCACCGGCGTGCCCCCTGCAGCCCGTCCTACAAGTAGTACCATCTGTGTTTCTGTTCGCCCCCTTTGCTCTCGGGAATAGGGCGTTCGACCACATAGACCCCCAAATAGACCACCCAAAATGCAATGTTCCTGATCATAGTAAGCCCCCCAAAAGAGGGTATGTCTTCGGAAACCCCCATGTGTCTTGAGCTCGATTTTTGATCATGCCTCGGCCTCCATTGCTCAGGGTTTGGGTTTCAGAGTTTAGGATGGCCCTCAGACATAGCCCTCAGGGGCGGCTTTCGCTGGCAGTCACCAAGTCTGGCATCAGAAGAGTTTAGGGTTTAGGGGTTTAGGTTTAGGGTTTAGGGTTTAGGGTAGGATTCCGGGGGTAGCAAAAACAGTCGGATAGCCAGGGGCTGAAGACCAGCAAAGGTACAGCAAAAGCCACTTGGCTGGAATCAGCTCTCACCCTGTAACCCTCAAACCCGAAACCCCCAACTAGACCCCTAAGGCCCCAGACTGCACCATGACCCCGAAACCCTAAACCTAAACACAAAACCTTAAACCCCATAGCCCTAAACTCTAGAACTCTACGATCCCCCAGCACTGCGGTTCGCATATGTGGGAGCGTCCTTCCTGCACTTGCGGGGCTTGGAAGGTTTAGGAGGTTTAGGAGGTTGAGGACCGTTTAGGACCGTTTAGGACTGTTTAGGAGGTTTACGGAGGTTAAGGGGGTTAAAGAGGGTTAAAGGGGTTTGGAGGATTTGGGGTTGATTGTTTGCGCTGGGTATTCTGGGGTTGTGCAAGGTTGTCTTTTGGTGGCCGGCTCATGTCGAAGAACGACGTGGCTCTGGCAAGCCAGGGGGCACCCCGGCCAATCAGACGAAGGAGTCCTTGTCAAGAGAGAGACCCTAGATCCAAACCTGGGAGGCTGGCAAACCCTGCACCCTGCATTCTTGCCTGGAGAACTCCTGTTTCTTTAAGCTTCTGTGCTCTCAACTAAATGGTGGGTCCACGACTCGCCCCCACAGTTGCGCTTAGTCGTTCCGCCGCGCGCGTTCGTGCTCAGGGATTTTGACAGCCCACCACTCCTCCTTCGCTGATTCACCCGCGACGGGCCTGAGCCCCTCGAAATCCCAGTGGCGAAGGTGGAACATGGACATCTCCTGGTGCTGGCTGTGCAAGACACTCGTTCGCATATCGCAGTCATCCTGAGCCCAAGCCTTGCCCTACTCAGCCTCTTTTATGTTCCATCGCCTTGAGGCGGGCTCTGTTCTCGCCACTGCATCAAAGGATGGCACAGCCAGGCCATCAACCAGACGCGGGGGGGTTGAGTTCAAGGTGGAGGTTTGATGTTTAGTAGTTTTCTTGTGAATTTGCGTTTGCCGGGGCTTTGTTCACGGTTTGGGGGGGACATCGGATTTGGAATTTTGATCATGAAGGCTTCAGGATTTGGAGGTTGACGACGTGGAACGCAACACCCAAGATTAAGATTTTCGTCACCTTTGCGATTTCGGGTTGGCTGCGGGGTTGTCGCTCAAAGCCCTTCAAATTCAGCCGTGACATATATAGAGAGGTTGGCCGCGCAATCTGTATAATATTGCAGAATATTGCAGAGCTAGAGGTTGGACTTCAGGCATCCAGGTACTGGGCTACCATCGGCATGGGCTAATGAGCTAAGAGCTGAAACTATGGGGAGCTTCCAGAACTGCATGGCCCGCGGGCAACTATGTCCTCTTGTGACTCATGTGGGATTGGCTTGTACTGTACCGCGACAGGGTCCGTCCAAGAAACATCGCCCATGACGCCTCGAAGGCTTCAGTTGAGGCTTAACGGTGGGGGATGTGCGGTTGTTTCGTTAGGAAGAAGAACTATGCAGGGCGTGGCTGCAAGTGAGTCCACGCAGGATGGCGTGAGAAACGCCAGCCAACAAAGGCCCACGGGTACCGTTTGGTCCCTTTGGAGGGGCCCACTTTGAAAAAGCTTCTGACCAGGCTTTGGTCCGCCGAATCCGGAGAGTCCCCCGGACCTGCACACAGGTAGAGCCCCAAACCTAAACCCTAACTCTAAACTTAAAGGGCCCTCTTGGAAAGAATGGCTCGTTTTCGGTGTGCTTTTGAAAGACAGCATACACAAGTGGAATGTGCAGGGTGAGGAGGGGGGAGCCCTTGGGGTCATCTTCAAGAGGGGTTTTAAAACCTAAACTAAGGGTGCCGGATGCTAGGGGCTGCTCCTGGGAGCGATGTGCGTCACGTAGCAAGGCAAGAGGCAGAGGGAGAAGTGAAAGGAGCCCAGGGTGCCCAAGTTCCTCCTTATAAGTAGATGAGTTTTAGACCCAAAGAGATTCTTCCTGAGTTGCAGTGACTCTTCAGAGAGATACCTACATAGCTTTCTAGTCTTTAGGGATTGGGGAGTGCCGAGGTGCTTGCGAGTCCTTGCCGGGCATCGCCACAGCGTGGTCAGCATCGAGTTTGCTCCGAGTGGTAGCTCCATAACCACTGCGTCTCTGGACAGGGTTGGAAGAAACTTCGACTGTTGGGTTGATCGTGAGGCCGCGCAGGGGACAGGGGTGAATGAAAGAAGCGTCGGACACGCTTCTACCGTCGCGATGCTGAAATAGTACATTTGGATTGTGTTCATCTAGGGCCTCGGAACATGTTGCACAGACCTGTTGCTTCTCTCAGCAAGTACACATCAAAGATTCCATCTCGAGGACGGCACCGCCCGAATCTGGAGTGTGGAGACCGGCTCCTGTTCGGCGGAACTCACTGGCCACACTGCTGAAGTGCGCCGGCAGCATGCCAACGCCAATGTGATGTGGAAGTTGTGTGTCGTTGTAAGGTCCAAGTCGAACTCCTATGTGCTCGATTTGCTTGGAGGTGCTTTGAGACTTTGGGTTTTGTGTTTTCGGTTCGAGGCTTTTTGTCTTTTCTTGTTGAGAAGGAGGCCTTTGCGGTGAAACAACCTAGAAAGCAACACGAAACCCCGAAGAGCCCACGGCCCCCCAAGCCCTCCACCTTGTAAAAGCTTGCAGCTCTTGCCCTGAGTAGTTTCAAGACACCAGCTACCTACATTGACCCACTGCGCAGCAAAGAGGCCGCGCATGAAATTGCTTGGAGCTGGCATTTCTTACGATTGCCGATGCAGTTAGTACAGTTTGCACATGTATGTGTACACATGTGCATGGGTATGTCTCATGTAGATACCCCCGATGCGGTCTCGACTTCCAAGGTCTTTACGGCCACCTTCGCACCCTCGGGTGGTCAGGCCCATCAGATGTCTTGTAGAGCTCGGGGGTCTTGGCAGGTGGCAAAGCAGGGCATCGGATAACTTGCCTGAGCCCCTCAAGCTGGCAGTGCGTGGACCTTGCCGTTGTGCGTACGGGACTGATGACTCAAGCCCAACACCGGACCAAGGTTTCGACATTGGTCCGGCTGAGCTGAATGCTGGTTTCATGTTGCATTTGAGGATGCGTTCTGGAAACGAAATGGGGTCAGACTGAGGTTGCATTATCGGGGCTGTTGTCTCATTTGTGAACAGACTCTCTGGACACTCTATTTAGCTTCTCAATGCCCAACGACCTTGTTCGCCCCGCCAACAACAATCTGAAACCCAGCCTCTTGTCTATTTGTGCAGACAGGTGTTGACGGCCTCGCAAGACCACACAGCACGAGCAGCTTTGCTGATCCTACATCCGTCCATATTCCTACATGGCTTCCTCTCACACTGACTGAGTGGGCGAAGAATACTTCTTTGGAAGGTGTTCACTGTCGATTTTTCTTCTCAGGTGTGGTCCTTGGATGGAACTTGCACGCACGTCCTGGGCAAGCATTTGGGTGCCATCTCCGCAGCTAGATTCTCCCCGGATGGTTCGCGAATCGTCACAGTGCGCGCCTCAGATGTGCAACCCGCCATTATGCAGGAAATGAGGCTTTGAAAACTATTTTTTACTGCACTTGATCTCGTCTTCTCCTTGGAGGTCAGTCTCGGGACGCCGTGCCCAAAAGCACATGTCTATGCTGATCAGAAAAGCATCACGGCCCTCATGCTATAAGACGTCCGATGTTGGACACACAAACTTATACACATACCAGTGGCCTTATAAGTCTAACATGCCCCTCGATCTGTTTGCGCTCGGGGTTCCTAATTATCGCGAACCCACGCTAGCCAGCAAAGTTTTATATAGGGCGAAGGCCCCGCGGCATATGCCATGTGTGTTGGAGACGTGCTACAAGTACCTCAGCAGAATTTTCGAAGAAGCTGTACGGGCATTCGACGGATGAACCCAAGGTGGGGGCACCTTGCTTTTGTCTTAAAGCTTATTCGCCTTCTGGCAGCGCGAAATAAGTTCAGGGCCTTTCATGGCCTGTCCCCTGCTTATCCCTGATGCGCAGCCCTCCAGCCGAGCCACAGGACCAAAACTCCAAGCTCGAACACCCTGCATCCCACCGTTTTCGGCCCTTTAGCCGATGTTGAGGGGTTTTTAGACTTGCGACCTAATTAAGACTTAAGACTTACGACTTAAGTAAAACTTAAGACTGAAGATAAGACTTAAGACTTAAGACTTAAGACTTAAGACTTAAGACTTAAGACTTAAGACTTAAGACTTAAGACTTAAGACTTAAGACTTAAGACTTAAGACTTAAGACTTAAGACTTAAGACTTAAGACTTAAGACTTAAGACTTAAGACTTAAGACTTAAGACTTAAGACTTAGATAGCCTGACAACCCATGAGGCCTCCACCGACTGCACCGCTCGTGTTTGGGAGCCTGTCTTCGGCACGTGCCTGCTCACGATACAGGGCCACAGCGGGGGGACCCAGGAGGGCACCAGGAGCTCAAGGACTTCGTTGCGAGGTCTTCTGTTGGTGTACATCGGGATAACAGTCCCTAATAGGGATTTTAAAGATCTTATCCCTATCAAGGACTGTTCGTATAACGGGGGAACATCCCAAGGTGTACAGGTACTGTCGCTTTGATTCCGTTCTCTTTTGATGTTTGGCTGGACGAAAGGCTGCAAAAACTCAGCAAGGGCTTCTCACCATCAGGCGGCAGCGTGTCCATCGCCGCGATCTCTCCTGACAGCACGATGGCCATTGCCTCGTGTGAGGATACCGTGTTCGGGGCTTGAGCGGCATATAGCAAGTAATTAAGAAGTAGAAAATATCATGACAGTGTTCACACTAGATTATTCGGTAGTGGATATTTTCCAGCAGAAGGCCCTCGGAACCTTGGCATGCTAGGAGCGGTTGTTTGCTCTTCGGGTCCTTAGCCCGTGCAAGAAAACAGGCAGCATGGAAAGAGTAACCGAGACGTGCGAAGCTGTGCATGCGTTTGCAGAACCCTGGTATGTCGAAGCTTTCATCTAACTCGTCGAGCAACAGAAGCACTGAACCCCCCTCTGAGATGCTTACCAGCGCCATCGACACGCAGGGGGCAGGGCTCTTTGTTGCCAGAGAGGAGGGCATGTACTCTAGATGGGCTTGGTTGTGGTCCAGAGTGTCAGGGTGCCAGTATATCCCTTTACTAACCCTGAAGCCCGCAAGCAACCGTCGACCCCAAACCCTAAAAGCCCACCCTCAACCCTGGTTTGCTTGGGTGGCAACAAAACCGTCCTAAATCCGAAACCCCAAACTTCAAACCCTGAAACGGCTCTTGGGATGAGGGCCTTTGAGAGGCCAACATGTGTTCGGGGTCCGATGCAGAAGTCGGGCTCCATAACTATAGTGAGCTCCTGTTCCCCCTCTATGTTTGAAGGATTGGGATTCCTAAAGTTCTGAACCTCCCCATAAAGGCAAAAAGAAGGGGTGTTAGGGTTTGGGCTTTAGGGTTTGGGGCGTGCTTTCACAGTCCAGCCTGAGTTCAACAAGGGTTTAGGGTTTAGGGTTAGGGGTTTAGGGTTTAGGAATTTCGCCCGAATTTTCGCTGTCCTGAAGGTCCTTCTGCGGGATGCCAGTTCGGGCCATGTCATGAGGCGGCCACTGCACTCAAGGGCTTGAGGGTTTAAGGTTTAGGGCTTGAGGGTCTATTTTAGAGTTTAGGGTTCAGGGTTTAGGGTGTGGGGTTTAGGGCTTTAAGTCAGGGCGAATGCGGCTGTTTGGGGCCGCAGGCTGCTGCATAGCATCATGCCATTTCAGGACAGTCATCACAAAAAATCTACCGAGGAGGCTTCCGCGAGCTTGAGGGAAGAATTTGGGCTTTGGAGGGTTCCTGTGGTTTAAAAGGTGTGGGGGGGGGGGGTTAGCCCGAAGATCACCCTATCGTTCCCCATCCCCCGGCCTCAGGCGACTCTGTGATGGGCTGTGGCAGCCTGAGATGCCGATGCACAAAGCACAACGGACACCAATCAAGTCCACGACTCAAGGATCTTCAGCTGTCGACCCTGCTTCACCCGTGAAATGTGCGTGAAATCTCTACACAACAACAGTCAGAATTTGGCCCCCCCCTGAACAACTTAAACCCTGAACCCAACACCTAGATGTGCTAGCCGCAGGCTTGTGCACACAGCTGCAAGGGGCCAAGAGTTGCTTTTGTCGTTTTTAATGGTCTTACGGGTCTTAGGCTTGCGGGGCTCAGGTTAAGGGCTCAGGCATGTTCAAGGTTCAGGCCTGACAGGGTGGAAAATGGGGTTTGGGGCCTTTTGGAATGGTGGGGGCCAGGTCTTCAGTCATCTTTGTGGTAGGTTTCGATGCTTGAGAGCCCTCAAAAGGCCTTCTCCCCTGACGGCTCCATGATTGTCGCCGCCTGCCGCAGACTCAGGGCTAAGTTCGCTGTAGGACCCTTCACAGCACACATAGTGCAATCGACCAGTATGTCTTTGCATTGGCCCTTTCATACTTCCATGGACCAGGGCGGTACGGTGTAAAGGTCCGCAACTTGTTAGGAATTCCGACCCGGCGCGAGCAAAAAGATAGTTTCGAGCTTCGGGTTTGGAGTTTCGGGTACCATGGTTTGGGGGGGTTATGGAGCTTCTGCTGCGCGATTTCAGCGGTTGAACTGCGACAATCTCATCCCTCGTTGATTCCTTCCGCGAAAGTCAACAGAGCTCTAACTTCTCTAACCCAAAGTGTAATTGTTTCGAGCTTAGGGATTTGGCACCCAACTCCTCGTCTTGCACCCAATGAGTCCAATGAGACCTTGCGCAGCATCAGCAAGGAAGTGCCTGTTTCATCCGGACCTCTTATCCGTGGTCCGTTCTGTTGTGCACAGCCCGGGACCCTGTCCCCTCAGGATTCCCTTTTTTCACAACCCTAACCCTACCGCACGCGGTTTTGCAATAATGCGCCATCTCTTTTCTTCTCTACCTCATCCTCTGCCTCTACCTCATCCTCTTCCTCTCACACAGACTTTGTGCTGACGATGTCCACACCCCTGCTAGCTTGGCCACCCAAGTGCCGAGACACTGCTGAGCTGCTCACTGCACAACGAACTGTGAGCACGGTCTCTAGTGGCCCCCACTTCTCGAAGGCTGCGACTGGGCAGCGCGTCTCTGGAGCTGCGATGATGGCCATTGCCTGCAGGACCGAGATCCCCTGTGCCTGTCGAGCCAAAGTACTAAGTTCACACATTGCTCTTGCCGGAAGCTGCCCTGAACAACTGGAAGTATGAACCCCGCGACAGGTTCCAGCATGAACAACACAACTATCTTGACTTCAGGTGCCCATCAGCAGGATCTATTTGACCCAAAGCCCTGCACTCGAACGTAGGCCGGCCAAAGAGCAAAAGCTGACCAGGAACTCCGCCACGAAGCACAGCTTCGACGTGCGGACTTCTGCGCTGACGGATCGCTGGTGCGCCCCCGAGACCCTGCAATCTTCCAGGCATAACTTAGGGATATGGGTACTTCAATTCCTAAGAAACAGCTAGCATTATAATTTTTGCTAGGGTTCCAAGTTCAGTATATACAAGCTTTATTTGAAGATCTTTGGGCCGCATGCTTCCATGCCTCGAGCAAGCAGACATGTGCAACTTAGACAGTTGACACTTTTGGATATCTCTTGGCCATGCAGAAGTTGTTACGAAAAGACAGCTGGTGTTGCAATAGGCCCCCATAATGCCGAAGAATTCTGTCATCCGCATGGCATTCCCCTTTAATGGTACCAACCCCCCCCCCCCCCCCCCAAACCCTACCCGCAGCCTCGCCCGCTTTGTGCTTGTGTGAGAGTCGAAACCCTGACCCTCAACCCACCTCTTAATCTCTGCTACCATCCGTTGGCCCCCTTCGGGTTGCAATCTGTTTTCTGCTCGCACATCAACAATGCAAGCGCCCGAACCTTATTTCAAAAGTTTGCTTGCGCACCGGCACTTAGAGAAGATGTTGAACTGAAGACGTCGACTTTCAATTTACACGAATTGCAGATTTTTGAGGCAAGACGAACTCGGTCCGTTGACGGCAAACAGTGCATAAGTTCCAAAGTAAAGAGTGCAGATGCTGCGTTCTTCTGAGCTACTGCGTACTAGCATTTGTGTGTTCAGTCTTATACCATAGTACCTTAGCAGCAGTGTGCATAGATGTGCATACCGACGACCAGTGACTTGCTCCAGCAATAACCTCCCGAAGAATGGCTGCAAAAACCCCAAGCGGTTGCTCCAGCAATGAACCATGGGGGGTAGAGGGAAAACCCTAAAGCCAACCCTAATTCTGAATCCTAAACCCACAGTTCACCACAGACCGCGGGGTTGGTGTGCATGGATATATCAGAAGTGCGTTTGAGTTGTGTGCCTACTGCTTGTCGAAGCCTTGATTGTTCAGGGGGGTCATGGGGACTACGACATGAAGCGTTCTTACGTGTGACTCATATCCACGAATTTTCGAACCCCAACAGAGCACGAACAGCGTGATGCAGCGCAGTCTTCTCGGAGACCCGAGATTGACCTGCCGCCCAAAGACTTGTCTCATGACAGGTTGTAACGATCTCTGCGAACCACGCGGCCTTCGTTTGGCAGGTGCGCCTCAGTATCTGCACTGATGCGGAGATGAGTGCCCAAGCGCAAGTACAGTACCACAGACTGCCAGAGACCTTAGATAATGGGCATACTCAGGACCCTTGTTATGCGGGGGTTGCCCTAAAGGGAGGGAAGTATGGGCTTGGGAGCGGGCATTTTGATCAACTTTCCCTTTGTGGAAGTATTGGTATCTCTACACCCAGCCTTTTGGGTAGTGGTATGAGGCTTTGGACTTTTGTGTCCTGGGCGCTATAGGGTTTTGGCTATTGGTGAGCCCTGGTGGCTGATTCCACATTGGGGGAGGGGATGGGGACATACGGGGACTCAGGGGAGCTCCCAGCAGGCGACAGCCAAGGAAAGAGCGTTCCATGTGACAGGCGCTTGAAACCTTAGCTTCCCATGCGTTTGCTTTCAGCCTAGATCACTTGAGACCTTCAGTGCTTGACTGGCGCATCCGAGCACGTGGGAAGGACATGGAAACCCTTGCCGTCGCAAAAGATGTTGGCGTCCATGGTTGTTGCGCGTCCACGCCCAGCCGTCTCCTTCCCCCCCCCTCCGCCTCCACCCAAAAATCAGCTGAACTACCCCCTTCCGAGAGCCGCGAGATGCTGCGAGCATCACCCCGGATAGACGTTGCTTCGGATGAAGGGCAACCTTTCATGAAGCCCCTGGTTCTTCGGAACGTACTCAGCAGGAAGTCAGACAAAGCGTGGTGCAGATGAACCCCAGCAAATAGCAGCGACAAGCACAAGAATTCACCGCCATCGCCAATGTTAAGCTCTCTCTCCTTTGACCGCTGCTGCAGCTGAGAGGAACCACAGATAGCTGGGCTGCTGTACAGTTGTGCCAGGGTTTGAGGAAGGCACCCCAGCCCATGCTTTCAGGTGGCGACTGGGAAGCTGGCCGCCCACCCAGCCCTTGCGTGCAATGATGCCATGCCGACATGATCAGTTCTCTAAACGCTCCCTGATGGGGAGGTCCCCCGCCCCCCCCCCCTCCCCACCAAACACAAAACAAGATACCATAGGTGCCCCTTGGCGCCTGCAAAGTTCAAGGTAGCACCTACAAGAGCCCCTCAGCCCCAAGATCTGCGTCACCACCCCCCGCGCCCAGGCGCAGGGCGTAGGGCAAATCCAGGGTTCAAGCTGTGATGCGGAGGTGCAAACGATCTCCCAGGCTGGTCGAGTTGGGACCCCAGTTGAAAGGACTCTGAACAGAGGAGTTCAACTTTCTGTGCTCGGAGATGCAAGGAGGCACGGACATTGGAAATCCTAAACCGCATGGCCCCCCAAATCTATCCCAAATCTTCAGTGCAGCACCCTCCACTACCCCTCCTCGCCAAGAAGCTGAATTGGAAAAGATTTTTCGGGGGAGAGAAAAGAATCAGCGACATGCTGCCAGACTGATCTTCAGACTCCCCCGGTCTCTGTCCGGCGCATTCTGCCACAGAAGCCATGACTCGAAAGTGGGATTGCCATTTGTTTTTTGTCACGTGGTAGAATTGTCATGTCATTCTTTTTACTTTGGCCTGCCGACCAAAGCCCAAAGCTACCCTAAGACTCGAGATCCTAAAACCTGAAACCCCAAGGCCAAAGCTCTGAATATCCCGGGCCCCCCAGCCCATGGGCGCTTCATGGTACCTGGACACGGTTTGCAATCATGGATCAGAAGCATAGGAGCAAAGCTTCGTTAACCATTCTTATGTTAACCATCTTCATTTTCTGTTTTCTTTCTCCGCGTCACTGAGGTGGTTTGTGCTGCCTTCAGCCCTGACAGCGTTAAGCTTGTCACTGGCGGGGAGGACGGGCTGGGACAACTCATGCTTGCAGTCTCATGTTAAGGGTTAGCCATAAACCCTATAGACCCTGCACCCTGAGTTTAATGCACATAAGCTGTACTGCTATGATGCTATGATCAGAGCAGGCTCCTGCGATCATCACACGTGCAAAGTGTATCGAACCATTGCGCTGTTTTCAGAATGGCCAGGATGCCGTGGCCCGCGTGTGGGATGCTGTCACCTCAGCTAAGTGGTATTGAAAGTTGAGAAACCTTGCACCATGTCCTCGCATCAAGGTCGCAAGCGGAAACTGCAAAGTCGTGCTTGCTGGACACGAGGCCACAACTCCCAGCTTGCAATGTTGACCCTAAACCCTAAACTCTAAACCCTAAACCCTAAACCACTTTGCTGCTTGAGGTGGTCTAAAAGCCCCATTGAACCCCAAGTCCTCAGCGTCTCGCCTTGCTTGAGGTCAAGATCGAAAGCGCCGCATTTTCACCTTGAGGACTCGAGCCCCAGCGAAAGCAAAGCGACTGCGGGGAAGGATCATGAGGGTTTCCATTTCCAGTCCTTTGACTCTTTCGACTTTTGGAATCTCGAATGGGAGCAGAAATCTGCAGCCCGAAGGCCCTGTAAGAACGACAGCTCAGAGTCAGAACGAGTCTCCGCAAAGCTTGCATGCTTTCTTCGGAACCGGTCTCAACATGTAAGAGGATAGGCAACTCCGGACACTTGCAATGTTCTCGAACCTTGAAAAAGGAGCAGAGCACATATCTGCCCTGACCCTCCTGATTATCGGACTCGCCGCTCAACGGCTTCATGTGGTAAATGATCTTGCAGCGTTTGCTAAGCAGCACCAGATCGAAGATGTAGGCATGGCCAAAGTTGTTCGATCGACCCCCTTTCTGCGCAGCTGCACCTGGAGAGTGACTGTAGCTGCTGCTTTGGCAGCTGCCTTAACCTCTTCTCCGCTGCCCATCGCGAGAGCCTTTTTGGGCATCTTTGGAGGTGGGAAATCAGAGGAACGGATACCACCAGCGCAGGTGGTGGGCACAGCTTTGCGTTCTTCAGAAGGTCCGAACAAAAGGAGCACAGCTTGGGAGGTTCTGGATACAACCAGGTTGCCAAAGCAGACGGCCTTGGTCACTGGGGCCAACTCAGGCATTGGCTATTATACTGCTTTGGCCCTTGCATATGGCGGGGCACATGTTCTTCTGGCTTGCCGTGACTCCAGCCGCGGCAAAGCAGCGAAAAAGAGCATGGAGGAAGCAATTCGAGCAGCTGGTGCTTCGGCCAGCATAGAAGTGGTGGAGCTTGACCTCGCTTCGTTGAGCTCCATCCGCTCGTTCACTCAGAGCTTCCTGCGAGAAGGTCGACCATTGCATCTGCTCTGTCTGAACGCAGGCATCATGGCCATCCCAGAATTCACAACATCTAAAGACGGGTTCGAGATGCAGTTTGCAACGAACCACCTGGGCCATTTTGCGCTAACAAGAGCTCTTATGAATAAGCTTGCGGAGTCTGCTCCCGGAAGAGTGGTGACGCTGGCCTCTGAAGCTCACAGAAACCCCAACGAAGCCTACGATGTTGATGACTGGCCCCCTGGTGCTGGTAGATATGGAGACTGGCGCGCCTATCAGCAGTCCAAGCTTGCGAACATCCTCTTTGCTCGTGAGCTCTCCAAACGTCTGGCTCGCATTCCAGGAGGCGCTCGTGTGAGCTCCAATGCTGTGCATCCAGGTGTTATCTCGACTCCCCTTGGCAGACAGCAAATGCTGAAAGGAAGCGTGTTACTTGGGGTCCTACAGGACCGCACTGAGGTTCAAGGGGCTGCCACAAGTGTCTACTGTCTGACCGCTCCGCAGATTGAAGGCATCACAGGTGAATACTTCCGGGATTGTGCTGCAACAAAGCCCTCCAAATTTGCCACTGATAGCGAAGCTGCATGCAGACTCTGGGAACTGTCAGAGGAGCTGCTGAGCAAGTCGGGATTTCTGGCTGAAGATGCTGGCAAGTAGCAGTGAGGATGTATGGCCGTGCCTGGAGAGCCAATTTGCTTTGGAAAAGCTGTCCGCGATGGAGTTGCTGCACGATAGTGAAGCTATCACGTCCGCACGCTGCTGGCGAAGACACCAAACAGCTGAACACATGTCTTTCGAAGTTCAGCACAACTGGTGTTTAGTTGTTCACATGCCCGTGGCTGTATCCGGGACGGCTTACCCTCCCATCTCACTGCATGATGCATTTTTTGGGGCCGGTGCCAATGTTTGCATCGTGTCTCACCTCGTGTGGTTACAGCATCTGCAGGAGCATTTAGCTCAAAGGGCGGGGGCCGGGTAGCTTGTGGTTTAGATGGCTACAGTGACAGCACTGCAGCTTCGCAAGCGCTTGTTTTTTGCCGATCTCGAGGGCATGGGTTTCTCAGTTTGAACTGAGCGTCGGAATGAGTAGACTGAGCAAGAAGCCTCACCGGGCCTAACCAAAGTTAGCAGGAGAAGCTAGGAGTTTCATATCCCAGGGCACAAGGCACCCGCGTTCACTGGTTTTTCCACGATTGCTGCCTAGCCATGCTGCGCGTTCTGTTCGGCCTTGCAGTTGCTCACACCGCCTGTTGGGGCGTTGGGCATGATGTGACCGATATGAGCTGCAACTTGCAAAAACGGCGGCCGGATGCAGATCTGCACCTCGAGCTGGAGCTCAGAAAGCCTGCGCTTGAGCTTGCAGATTTTGCTATGCCTGCCGCGTCCACGGAGTCTGCCAGGCCTGCTTTACTTGCAGAGGGTCCAAGCAGTCCCTGGTTGATGCCGGGCGTACACTTCCAGCAGTGCTCCCGCCCGAAGGCCAAGCGGCCCACGCGGTCGTTGCTGCAAACCCGTGGTCAAAGCACGGAAGAGCCTTTGCCAAACCGGGTCATCTGCCCGCCAGGCCAGATGGCCATTGGCAACTTTGTTGGCGATGCCTACCAGGCCTACCACTTCACCTGTTGTGATGCCGGCCAGCAGTGTGGAGGCTGCCGCAAAGTTGTCAATGGCACTTGCCAGGAGTGTGCTGCTGGCTACATACACCAACAGATTCCGATCTTGAACATCACCAAGTGCTTCATGTGCGATGATGTCCCTGGCTGGCAGGACGCCAACGGCCTAAGTTGCCGGGACTACGAAACCAAGGGTTATTGCCCTGGCTATGTGAAGAGCGGCCACGATGAGCCCTTTCATGGCGTCCGGCCAAGCGAGGCATGCTGCGCTTGCGGTGGAGGCGACGTGCTGGCGACCCCCACTGTCATGAGGTTTGGCTACATGGCAGTGGCTTCTGGGGATACCATCGATGAGTTCCCAGAGCCCCAGGCCTTGGGGACGGAAGTCAGCAGTTGCAACCTTGCCCAGTGGGGTCTGAATCTCACCGGCTCTGGGAGGATTCAGGGCATTGTAACATCACTTAGCCAGAACAGGACCAGCATCAAATGCTCCCTCGTGCTCATGCAAGATCCTATGCGCGGTATCTCCACCACGGCTGACCTGGATGTTTCAGTGGGCACGTTCTCATACGGAGAGCAGGTCTTGGTCTTCAAGTACTGGGGTTTGGAGTCGGAGCCGTCCTCCAAGGCTTTCCACGTCCACCAGCAAACACTTCCGCAGGGCCACTCTTTGGAGAATTTCCAGTTGAACTGCAACTGCCCGTGCCTAGGCAAATCTTAGCAGTCTTAGCATATGTTCAAACAAGCCCTGTCCCTCTTGGGCTTGAGAAAGCCAGTCGGAGAACCAGGTGGCTTCGGATGTTGTCAAATGGAACGCTGGTGGCCGGACCACTGCCGACGCCGCTGGAGGCCAAAGGGTGCAGAAATGTGCAGAAAGGGAGGTTTGGAAAGAGCAGCGGAAACGGTCAGGTTGCTAGATGCGCAGGCAGCCGACAAGCATGTGTTGGTTTGCATGGTCTGAATCACTTCAGAATCTGTCCAATAACGCTAGGAGGGTCCGAAAAAGTTCTTGCGAAGACTTTCGGACAATTCCTCAAAAGGAGCTCTAGTCGAGGTTCTGTCGGAAGACCCGGGCCTATACATAGCAGTCTCATCTTGACGAACCACTTGATTTGCAATGGTATTCCGTTAAGGTGAGCACGCTGGAACATATAATGAACAAGACGGGCCAGAAGAAAATCGGAGGAAGGCGGGAGTTTACAACCTGAAACCTAGCACAGCCTTTTGAAAACAGGCTGCGGAAAGCACATACATAAGCGTAGAGAACCTTGTCAGGCACCCGATTCTAAACCTGCTGCAACCCCTACAACCGCCGGTTAACAGGTGCAGGGGCCTTCCCTCACGAAGCTTAGCGGCATGCCTTCCTGCGGCTGCGAGGTGCCGTGCACGCGTAGTCACAGCTGAACCACTTCTAGCATTACTGTACTACTAGCGACACAAAGTAATAGCAGGCAACTGATACAACTCGCATGAGACGAGACTAATACCCTAAACCCTAAACCCTAAACCCTAAACCCGAGCACCGCGAGGTCCAATACCCCTCAACAGAAGAGATGCAACGGCATCATTGACCACAGCCAAAGGAACAGGTTCTGTTTCGGTCTTCGGTCGGGGTATGCCACATGGGTTCATGGCTTCTGCCAGTGAGAAGAAGTCCGCCTTCGCGTTCTGAGGTCTTGGCCTTGTTCTTGTGAGAGAAAAGCACCACAGGGACGGTTTGTCACGTGGTAGCAGGGCGTGTGCCTTGGTACGAGGCTGATGTGTGGTCTGTGGTTGCTATGAGTGAGTACCTGGAAAGCTTGGTTTGGACTGGTCACTTCGAAGGTGAAAACTGTTCATCTCGAAAGTCTTGCCCACTTTAGAGCAGGGCAAGGTGGCTCAAAGCATCCAACAGCAAGCCTTGAAGCCTCGCAACGCTCAAAGATCCTTGAATGGGGGGCTTTAGGGTTTGGGGTAAGTCATGGATCCTTCTTGGGCCATGCTTATCGCATGCTCCACGTAGCTTAGGGCACCCGAAGTGGTGTGCAACACCGAAATTACTGTCATTTCAAGTTCGAGAAGCCCCGAAGCCCTAAAACCTAACTGTACGGGCAAGCACATTCCCAGTTCCATGTTTTGCAGTGTTTACTAAATTCCTATCAGTACCACGTTTGCTGGCGTAATCCTCGGAGCAACGGTAGCAGCAATCAATGAGTTGATGCCAGCACTACTAGTAGCACTGCGAATACAGGCCAGAATTACAAGCCACGAACCAGTAACCATCGTTTCAGTAAGACTTCCGCGTCGACGACCGACCGACCCCGAATCGGATTCCAGGTCTCCGACGAAACAGGGGTAAAGAATTGGGCGGTGGGAAACACACCTCTGAGCACTCAGCCGTTGCCGAGGCGAATAGCCTGATAAACAAAGGTAAATAGCAGTACCCAATTCAATCGGCTGGCTTTTGACCCACCCTTCGTCTTTGCAGCCATGCTTGTTTAAGGGAGGTTATGGGGGGGGGGGGGAAGGGGGAGGGGGGGAGCGTTGCCCATTGAAGTTGGGATTTTAGCCAATCTTCAGTCAATTGACGGCTTGTGTTCTGCTACGGACAGCTTTCTTGCAACACTGACCCCAAGCAATCCCTCTGAACCGTAGAACCATGGAGTATGCTCAGCTCCTTAGCCATGCGGAACTCAAGCCTCCACAGCCACAAGCCTCGCAAAAGACAATTATCCTTTTTATCGACCTAAGAGCATGACAAATGACTCTGAATAATCTTGCACTATGAACAGCACTACAAGCCGTACACAATGATGTGCCAGTTCTTGCAAAGATTTCATGTTTACCACGGCCACGCTAAAGTCTAGGAAGCAATCTCAGCCCTGCAAGGTGTCAGCTGAGCAGGTGCAGGATGCAGGCACCAGCAGGCAAGTGCTTTCCCAGTTGACGACAGTTAAGGAGGAAGACGCAATGGAGAGTTCATAATAACCCTCGGGGCAGTAATCATTCCTCGCGAAGGGCGTGATGTAACGCTGGGGACATAAATTATTGCGGGGGGTGCCAAGGGGTTCAGGTCCATAGATCCAAGGACAGATGTTGCATGATCAGCGACTCATTGAAGGAGTAAGGACCCTGCCAAGGAGTGTCACTGAGGCAAAAATTTGTTCTAGTCTTCCGAATTCCGAATGCTCAGGCGGAGCAAACCCAACATGAACAATCCTGACGCACTGAGCCATTGTTTAGAAATAGCAAGCGCTGGCAGCAGTACTAGTAGCAGTACTGACAAGAATCGCAATTCCAAGAAGAAAAGAACGATCTGCAGGCAGAGCGCAGTCAGCCAGGAATCCAGCAGCTTCATTGTGCTGCAGGCTTGTTCGGGCACAAAGGGCGCTTGAGGAACAAAACATATCTGCACCAGAGCATATTCACCTGAACTACTTCAGAATATGCAGGGTTTATCATGTGCCCAATAATATCTGTGCTGTTTGTAAGAAGGCAGAACCATCTCATCTCCTCTTTCATGAGAATGGCGCTATTTGCAGTGGAGCACCTGATGGCGCCTGTGAGAAACCCCAAAAAAGACCCCCCAAATAGTAGGATCCCCTGTAATAAGGACCCCAACAAGGCACCCCTAATATCGTAAACCCCCATATTGACGCCCCAACAAAGCCTCCCTACGTTCCTTCACAGATCTTCAGAAAAATCCGCGAGGGGGCGCCATCCTTGGGGGCCAGAGAAGAATAGTAAAGGTCTTTTTTTTGACCAAAAATTCAAAAACAAACAGTGTGGCGGAAAGTTGGCCACCTTTCGGAAACTAGACCTAGACTACGAAGGGCAACAAAAAGCCCGCCGTGGAGCCAGTCATGACGGCTACAGTCATGGCCATGGCACGAAGCGGAGCTCATACTTTCCTACGCAGTGGTAGTGGCATTGGCAATTCCAACAGGAGTGAACCTGAGCCTTGAACGGCAGTGCAGGGGCGTTTGTGGAAGTCCGGCGCCTACAAGGCCTGAGTCCTTGAGGGTTGTAGAGGGGGAGGGACACAAAGGGCGGATATACTGGATGTATAGAATCGCGGTGATGTCTGAGGAGTTCGTATTTCTTCTTAAGGGTCCAGGGCTTGAGAAGTTCGGCTTTGGCCGGCTGAGGGTGTCAGGCTGCACAGAGAAGGTGTGCGGCAGTGGGCGCACTCCTCTTCACAAGGTACTGAGAGTTGGTCGCTACGGCTTGTGAGGTTGACTGCCTAATAAGACAGTGAATGAACTAAACAAGTTTGAAAAACTACAGAAATGAGAATAGCAATAGCAATACTAACATGGCTTGAAAAAATGACGCAGGGAAAAAATGTTTCGGATTGCCGTTTCCAGTTTTCCATTGTTTCGCTTTGGATGTTGTCTTTGTGTCTCTATTGTTTTTTAGTATTAGTCTAATTATTGTCGATTGGGCAACTCAACCTCACAAGCCAAGACACTGAAGCAAACCGCCCCGACCTCATGCGCAACCTGAATCCCGACCGGCGGAGGTCCCGGTGCTTCGAAGCCGCATCGGGGTGCCGCTGGAGATTTCCCCGCTGCAGGCCGGGCTCGTATCAAATCGTGGGTGCCTTTCCAAGGATTCGTTTAAACGGTGGCCTTTGACTAAGGTTATTCTGTGGGTTGCCTTAGTTAAACAAAGGATCCCAGGCTGCCTTTGGGTAAGGTTGTTCCTTGGGCTTCCTTTGTTTTAGGAGGTTACAAATTGGATTCCAAAAAGGGAACCTCCCTCTAGTAAAGGGTACCTTGAAAGATCCCTGAGTTCGAAGCTCAAGATTTTATCTTCGCTCCCACAATCCACATGTCCCCAAACCTTACAGAGCCTGACACTTCCACTCGAAACCCTAAACTTGGGAGGTTCCGCCTTATACTAACAGTCCTTAATAGGGATTCTAATAGGGGGTACTAAAACGGACTGCTAGTATAGGGGGAACTTCCCAACCTTAAACCCGAAAGCGTAACCGTCGAGATCATGAGCTGTCTGCAAATTCAAGCCTTTGCATCCGGTCAACCTCCAGGAGCGTATCCCTGGCATGCGCTGGTACGAGGAGCACCAGATATTTGACATGGTACCTCAAGTACGCCAGTCGTCAGTCCGGAGGGTCATTTCAGGTCTCAGTAATCCAGCCTTAAGATATGCATCTTCATGCAGTAGGCTTCTGTTATGGTGCGCTTGTTGGTCGTCCAGGTGATGGGTTCAAAAGCAAGTCCCACTAAACATGCCAAGAGCGTTGTCCCGAGGACAAGACCCTGGAGTTTCCCGTCCTGGAGAACGCCTCCTCGGGGGAGCGTTTTGTGGTCTCACCGGCCGTTCGCCCCGAGGCTCTAACCTCTGATTAGCTTGCACAAGCCAGGGGATGTTGTGAGTGTGCAGTCTCGCTACTCCCAAAGTGCCCCAGCATGTGGACTCAGTGTTGACACTTTCTGCTTGTAGCTTGCTGAGCTCCCTGTCATGCCTTGTCCAGATTTTGGATGTGCAGTGCCGTGACGGCACCAATGCCACCTATGCTTGGTCGCGGCACAGTGGGGACGTCACCCGCGAGGGCAAGGTGGGCGGGCATCTTGTCGTGATGCCGGGTCGAGGTTCCAGAGTTTCGGGTTGTTGAGGCCACTTGACGTCTTTTGCTGAAGGACAACCAAGAGCTTCCAAAAAGACCTTAACAAGGAAGTCCTTGCTCACTGCGCAACATACAAGTTAAAGTATTCCCTAATTAAAGGTGCCATAGTTAAGGAGCAATTCGTGGAATTGTTGCCAAAATATGGTGCTTTATTATTAAAGTATTAAATCTGAGATCAATGGTAAGAACAACAATCGGGAGAGCAGCCCGAAAAATGCAAGAACGGTAAGAAAGGCAGTGGAACCACAGCATTGATGCCAGGTGGCCTTGAACTTGGATCCTTCCTCAGGACACGCCTCTGGTATCCTGGGCAGAATTCAAACTTGTTCAAACTTGCCGAGAGAGGTTTCCGGGTTCAAAAGGAGTTGAGCTGTACTCAGAGTGTACTCTTAAGATCGGTTGTGCTTTTGGCATTGGAGTGACAACAATCCTACAGTGCTTCGCAGTGCTACTGTCACTGCTTCTAGTACGATATTGCGTTCTCAATCCAAAGCATACTCCTCCGTTCAGGAGTTGTTTTCTCCTAGTTCTAGTTCTGTGAAGTGGCATCCCCAATGTGTCTGGCACCTGCCTTGATAGGTCCTCTGAATGGCTCATGTATAGGGACTGTATGTCGAAGTAGATTACTTGGGCACCTACATATTGTTAGCCCTGGCCCTAGAACTTGAAGATGCCCACTTCGCGAACCTTACTTTGAGCTTATGACCCAAGGCCAGATAAAGCTCTTTCTCATCCCTTCCACCGCCCTTCAGGTACTACTTTGTTGTTTTGTCCAGGACCTCTCCTAAAAGACAGAATCTGGACCCATCCACATAACCCATTAGATGCTTGGAACCCATCCTTGTGGGTCCTGCGAGTTTGGAAACACAACCCCCCCCCCCTCTATACGAACGAGAAGCAAACGCATCAAACCCCATATACGAAGAAGCAGCATCAGTGGCATACGTGGCAGACTGCGAGCGCCAGAGCGCCCCAGGGGTCTCTCTCCTCGACCTCTCGGCAGAAGGTCGCGGTAGGCTACAGGCCGGCGGCCCAGCAAGCAGGGCAACTCTTGCACTGGGTTGGCTTCTAAACCCTAAACCCTAAACCCTAAACCCTAAACCCTACGTGGCCTGAGTGTCAGCTTGGCGGGTGGCAAAAAAAAAACCTACGTGTTTTTCAAAGGGCTCTAAAGGCCAACCAGCCCCTGGCAAAATGACTGTTTAGGGGCTTTCTCTTGGGTCCCAGGGCTCATATGGGACGGGGGAGATTGAATTAGAGTCCCAATCACGGTCCCACTTACTGCGCACGTGTTGTTAGGGCCTAAGAAGACGCACTTTAACTTGAAAGCGTTCACCATGATTCCAGCGCCATTGTTTAGATTGTTCTGCAGGGCACATAGCAGGTCTTCTTTCTGAAGGTCTTCATACAGGAGCCGTAGCAACGACACATATTTTCTACTGGAACATTTTGTAAGCATAGCCAAAAGCAGTGTACAAACCCTAGATGACAAAAGCGTCCGCCTGTCCAGAACTCAGATCAACTGCAGCGTGGCGCTGGGAGGGCAGTTGTACGACAAGGCCTGGGGCTGGAACTTGGACTCAGCATGAAAACTAGTTCTGGAGAGGCAACCTTCCGGGGACCCTTTAGCCCTTCAAGCCGCCAGGAGGCCCCAAGGAGGCCTCCAGAGGGTTTCGAGTAACCCGTCCCGTGCCGCAAAGGGGTGTTAGAGGCGGGGAAACAGGAGAACCTCCGACCGCTTCGGCTGGGCCGAGGCGAGTGAAGAAGATCCGCGAAATGGCATGAGAAGAATGGCACGAATAAGTGTTGATTAGCGGGACAAATGACCTGGGTAGGACTGATGAGGATGGTAGTACTCAAGAATCGTCAGGACCTGAGCCCCGAAAATCAAGTTGGTTGGTAGTTGGCATCTGTAGTGGCTTCACTATGCTCGTTGCCACATTTGTTACAGTGAATGGTAGACGTCCCAACATATAACGTAGTCCCTCGATCATCCCTTAATATTTCCAAGGCCAGGACGTTGACTTGGTTTCCTCGCTTGGACTTTCTGTACTGAGCTTCCTGGCAAGGTCCTGCCAGTCGCAACGCTCACGATGGATGTGGTCGATGACATGTGCTGGGTCCCCACCAACATCTCAGGACCAAAAGCCTTTGAGAAACAAACCCAGCCAGACCAGCCGCATCATGCTAACCTGTCCTCTCTATCTTTCGACGAATTTTGAATGAAGGATGGTTCGGCTGGGAAACGCTGCCTTCCCTAAAAGACTGTCGAGCCCTCGGGGAGCACATTTACATGCACCTGAGTAGGGAGTTTGTTCCGTATAGTGGCATTGATGAAGATTCTTCGTGCGGTCACCTTCTATGACTCAAATTTTGCAGGACACGGGTCTATTTCAGTAAGAAGCAGGCACCCCTCAAATGCACCTGTTCTTGAAAGGCTACTGAAATTGACAACGTGGACTTCCGCAGGTTTCAGGTTTGTGCTTTCAAGGCGTAATTCAAGGTGTTAGTTCTGCCAGCAAGCGCATGCCGGTGAGGACAAGAATTAAGGAACTCTGCCTGGGGTATCCGGATCACAAGTTGCACTTCGTAAGTTATCCTGGAAACAGCCACGTATCAGCTGCTAAATAACTCGTCTATCTTCTTCTGCTCAGGTCTTCACCTTTGCCGCGAGAGGGCGGACTGCGCAGCCGTCCACATCGAGGAGGCAAGGATCTCATATGAGAAGTTCTTGAGATTAGGTCCGTTTGGAGGTCTGTATGTTGAGGTGGTGCCACTTTGCTTTGACCAGATAAACACTATCTGAAGATTTTTCTGCTATAGCCAGGCCATTCTATTCTGCCATGAGTCTTGGTGGACATACATATTTGCAGAACAAACGCTTTACATCATCCCTGTTGCTACATAGTGCGTTGGTGCCAGGACGGCAACCGCACCTGCCGGGCCGTCGTCAGTGACGGGCAGAAGGAAGCGTTTGCTGGCCAGGCAGCCCCCTGAGGATAGCTTTCTATGGGTCGTTGTCCTTCCAAAAAGAGTCCCCCAAAATGGACCCCGGTCGCCTTTGGGTGGGCCAGGGACGGCACCTCAGTTTCAGTATGTAGAATGCCAAATGCTGCTCATTGAGACAGTAGAATGCAGTCGGGCTTGCACCAATTCAGACACTAGAATGCAGAAGAAGGCGGATGAACTTCGTAACGTGCAAATTTGTGCGGCGCCGCGGCTATACTGTTGTGCGCCGTGCAGTTCCGAATGGTCCATCAGAGAAACTGTGGTTCAAGAAGTTAACCTGGACCTGTTTGTGCGCTGGCACAAGTTGCAAGAACGAACTGAACAGGTTTGCACACAGGATTCGGGGTGCATACAAGCCACTACTGGAAAGTCACTTGTGAAATTCAAATGGAACATGAAATGGAAGCACTCCGCAGCCTAACCCGTATGTAACAGCTTCACACGCACGCGCGCACACACACACACCCTTACTTATTCTACAAGCGCGCGAAGACGCCAAACGAAACGGAAACAATCAAAATACATGAGGACTGTGACTGTGAAGACAAGCAGCGCGACTGCGGGCGCGCTTTGTGCTCGCCAAGATAAATTCCCAGTTAGCCGAATAACCGTTCGTTGTAGCCTTGTACCTTCATGAGCTATCCATGATGCGAATATATGCGAATTGGGCAGGCCTTCCAGGGATTCCAGGGTTCACATCGGCCAAGCCGTGCAAACAACCGTTGCTCCACTTTTCGGAGCTAGGGTCATAAATTAGATGCAGCTGACTTGCAAACCAAAGTTGGGTCATCTCAAGCCGATCCCTGTCACCACACCAGCTCACCTTTGAATTAAAGCTGGAGTACAACCAAGCCCAAGAACCAAGTTGCCTTTCTATTTGGAATTCATCTGCAGGTGCTGATGCGCTTGGAAAACTGTTCTGAGGACCGCACCATGGAGGGGTAAGGCAAGGGCTTGTCACAAGCTACTTTTTGAAGGGCTTCTAACCAACCTTCTCCTTTGTTTTGGGGATTTTTCAACGGATTAGATGGAGGGTTCGCTCGGGCTACTCGCAATGTTAGGTACACTTGTATGTCGAAATGCGGAATGAACGTGGCTGGAAACTTGGCGATTCCGAACTAGGATTGTGAATACTTATCAGCGGGTAAAAAAGTCACCGTGCCCTTAATGCGGCGCTTAGTAGGGTAGGGCAGGCAGTATCTTGGCTGGGCACCTGTCTTTCGTCCAATTCTAGTGTAGTGTAGCAATTGTGCGAGTACCTTGGCTTATCTGAAGCTTGAGCTAGCTGTGTCTGTAAGTGTGACGGCGTTGGGCCCCCTTTGGGAGGTGCAGCATTACAGCACCACAAATGGATCCCTACTTGGAGAAATACCCAAACGACAAGTCATTCCCATGCAAGGCCCGTAGAATCATACTCTCAACTACCCAACTTTCTCCAACCCCTGTTCTTCTTCAGTTACCTGGACATGATGCGCCAAGAACTGAGACCCTGAACTACCCAACCCGAGGCTTCGAGTTTGCGGGAACTGGTTTAGGGTTTAGGGTTTGGGGTTTAGGGTTTAGGGTTTAGGTTTTGGGGTGAAGGGTCCCGAAATTGATGGCTCTCAGGAGGACACGGACCTAAACCTCACGGCCAAAGGTGCCTGGTGCCTTGGCATTGGAGCTGTCTGATAGCTGGGTTGGCCTCGGGGCTATGTATATATTCTCCATTGCTAGTTTGCAGGGGCGCTACATACCAATACTTCTCAAAGGTCTCCAAAGCCCGACCAAAATAGTATTGCGGGTAGTATTTCTGTGTGCTGCCATTGTCGGGTAACACAACTGGTACTGCATCGGTACAAGTAGATCTATGCGTGTCAGCACTTCATCTTACTACTGTGATGGTTATTCCGCTTGACGACAAGCCATCAGAGAAACAAAAAACAATGGCAACAGCAATGGTCATGCTAGCAGAGCGGCTGCTGACCATTTGCACAGGATGAGGGTTTGGGAGGATTCTGGGCTTTTGGACGAAGGGTTGGGTTTGGGGTATACGGTGCAGAGTCTGGCTTTGGGCATGTTATTTCTCTGCGAAGCGCCGACACGCAAACAGCTGAAGCTCGTGCCACAAAGATGGCAGTTGTAAGCCTCTATACGACTATACGTCTAAACGTGCTTCATGATGGTGTGCATCATGTCTCAGCCAATTAGGTTGTCGGTATCTCTTCAAAAACAAGGGGCCTCGTAAGCTCAAAAGGCCACAGAGGCCTTCATCGAAACAGTGGGACCATGGTAGGAAAATCGGCGACAGTTTCATGACGGCACAACTGCCGAAAACTTGACTGTTAGCACCTTTCAGAAATATGGACCTTTCTGCGATAGCAAGAAGAATATTGACGAGAAGCAGTATGGCAGCTTCATGACGTGCCCTGGAGTGCCTTAGATCGGTGTCCCCAGATCTGGGGGCCATGGTAGCCCTCATCTTGCGGCTGACCGGGAACAGGCCACCCCTCATCGTCCAAGTGTGGCTTTGTGCTCTGAACAGATGTGCCTAGAGGTAGGATGGCAGTCCAAGGTATGTGCAAGGGAGCTACGCCCCGTCGAATGTCTTCAAGGAACAGGTGCGGAGTACCAAGTGCAGATCTCCGCCAGGCATGAAAGTAGGCTCACTCAGCAATACGAACTAGATTAAGGAGACTTTATCTCGGATATCCTCTGCCGTGTTAGAAGAGCCCGGCTTTGCTGCATGGCTGAGGAGCAGTGTACGTTTTATTGTGGCGTTTCCCAGCCAAGCCAGGTCTCCTACTCACATCCCGGAACCACGCCAGAGTTGCAATTCCACCTCGTGAAGCGGGAATTTGCAGACATGCAAATTCCGAAGGCTTTGTGGGTTGTGGTTTGGCTTCTGTGAGGATTGCTGCTACCAGCCATGAGATCCAGATCCTTGTTGTTTTCGTTCTTGCTTGCATTGTTGCGTTTGTTTACAACATGAAGCTCATGTCGCATTTGTCGTATCTGTGGGCGCGGCTGGGTTCATATCAGGGGGCAAGGGATTTGTTTAAACTTTGTCAGACAGCTCAAAAAGTCCCCAATAGTGCTAATGACTAATGGTCCCATTCACTCGTCATGATTGTTGGTACGATGAGAGGTGCTACCGTTACTATTCTATCTTTCTTTTTAGCCATGAACATCTGCGGCAGGATGACATCGTTGTTCAACAATCCCCTTGTTTTGGGTATACCGAATACCCTTTCCACAGCAAAGGTACAGCCCCTAAACAGGCCCTAAACACCCACTTGTACTAGGACCCGTTTATTCCATGTCTGTTGAGGTTGGGTTTCCTTATAACCCCCTTTAAACCAAAAAGGGTACCGTTTTTGTTCCTATGTTACTCCTGGGTCTAGTATAATTTCGTAAGCAATCTGATCGGGGCTTCTGGTGGCAACCCTGAGAGGGTCTCCGCAGGTCATGTTGACCTTTACAGCACGGAGGCCCCTTTGAAAGGAGAGAGCTGGGTCTCACGGTTTGAGAAGGCTTGGGGTCATCAAAGAAAACATCGGTCTAAGGTGTCAGCGGGAGTGGGGTTGGGATGGTTGGTGGGGTAAGATGGGAGGCCTGCGAGAATGCCTCCTGGCTCCTGTTGCACACGAACTCCTCGGACTGCCCTGGGCTTGAGGGGGTTTGAGTTCAAGTTTTGGGACATTTTGTGGGTCCATAGTTTGCAGACTTCAGTGCCTGATGAGTTCGAGGATTTTTGGAGGTGTCGAGGCTCAGGGGCATCATAGCCTGCGTGCTATAGTCTGGGCTCAAAGTTCAGACCTCGCAAGATCTCAACCTAGACCTTTCTCAGGATGGAGCGTAGAGAAAGTGAGGGAGAGGGAGAGAGAGGGAGAGAGAGAGAGAGACTGGGGGTCATATGCGCTGCAAGCAAGCAAGCAAGCAGGAGAGCGAGAGAGATAAGGGAAACCAGCAAATGCTGAGCAGGATTAGTCGCCGTCATGGCACCACCCATTGACACTCTCCAGTCCTAAAGCTTCGAGCCCAGTCACGGGCCTGCGCAGCCTAAGCGCACACTGCGCGTAGTAGTACGAGTAGCAGGAGCTCAAAGACAGAGAGAAGGAAGAAAAGATGAAGAGAAGGGGCCTTCTTTTAACCCTGAACCTTAAACCCTAAACCCTAAACAAACCCTGAGGATTTCAAGAGAGGCCGCTTGGAAGCTCCGGAGTACTACGGGAAGGTCATGGCATGCACTGACAAAGACGCCGGAGATGTCGTGGCCAACGCCTTCGAGATTGGCTCCGAGGATCTGAGCATATCTCTTCTGAGGGTTGTTGGGGAATTTTGGCGCGTTTCGACTAGTAGCATCAGGAAGATGCGAAGGACCTAAGGGTTTGTGTTTTGGTGGTTTTCGGGGGTTGTTAAAAATACAGTATGGTTGGGAGTTGGGTCCCAAGAAGGGACCATGCCTTGCAACAACTCTAGTTCGGAAAATGGGCTAGAGATCTTGCGCTCCTGCATTGGCCCTTTCCGAAGACCCCTAAGTAAGCCTCGACCACCTCCAATAAGAACCGACTGCCTTGCCCCCATCTGCCACCCATTCCAGAACTTTGAGCTGAATTTCCTTCCGGCAGAATTGGACGACGATGCGATCTTGCAGAAACCAAAGGCTGCATCTTTCGCTCCAAAAAAGAAGGGATCTGTGTTTGGGCCGGTCTTTCGGGAAAACGCACAGGAGCTCCAAGTCTGGGTATAGCTTTGGCTTTACAACATCTGGTTGCCTGAGGTTTGGGGATGTGAAGTTCCCAGCGCCAGCTAAAACTCTGGGGCAAAAAGGCTGGGCTCAGCAGAAGACCACGCGCACACGATCTAAATGTGACAGGCCGAACAGCAGGCAGAGCTGAAACCGCTGGTGCGCTCCTGCGAGCTCCCAGATTCGACGTCTTTCATCTTCGGCACCTTGCAGGACTGCTGTTGCGCCAAATACTGTGAGAGTTGGTGCTGTTTTGTTGCAACTGCTCATTGCATTCTTGGAACCTAAACCCTAAACCTTAAACCCTAAAACCTTCTTCGAGCTGCAAATTGGCTCCTGGAACCTTGAGGATCCTGAGCACTTCTCCCTGCACCCGTGCGAGTGCTTCGGGGAAACTGGCACTTGCTTGGGAATGTTTTGTTGCTTTCCATTTACCTGGCTTACAGGGTTTTTCTATGGTCTATGTAAGGCACACGTTTTTGGTCTAGGGTTCTTGGTGATACGATGTTCTATCGCCGTTTTGGGAGGAAACACTGATTCAGGAAAAGCATGCTCAAGCAGCGCCTGTCGCCGACTCTTCCAACCTGCAGGCATGGCTTCAGCAACACCTGCGCCCGAAGGGGCAGCTGTTATGATACAGTTGTAGTATAGTAGTCGGGGTCGTAGTGGTGTATGGTAGTGTTGAAAAGTGGTCTACCTCAGTCCTGACCCACACAACTTCGTTCCATGCGCCCAGACTGTAAGCCACCCACGCCTGGTCCTTCTAGTTTCACCCATGCAGATTGTTCCAAAGGTGCCCCGCAGCGGCAGATTCAACAACGGCACAGTGGAGGATCAGAAGATCTTCTCGGGAGCTTACACATGCGAGGAGTGTCTTGCGTATGCCTGACAAAGTGGGATCCCCGGGGCCAGATGTGAGCACTTCCTCTGCTAGAGGCACTTACCACGATGACTTCAACCGAAGCTCTTTCTGAAACAAGGATGGACAACTGATACATACTGCCTAATTACAACAGATGATGATGAAAGGGTCCTGTGCAGATTGGTTTTGCTTGCATCAAACTCTGCTCCTGCAAGTGGTGGGTCACCATTACTACCACAGAATCAGGATATTTAGCAACAGCAACAACAGCAGCAACAGCAGCAGCAACAACGCTGACGTCATGATGCTGGGGCTTAAAAACGTGTCACACGTGCCACCCACTGCGCCTGTGAGGACACAGCAACTCTCTCGCAGTCTTTTGCTGTCACGCTGTCAGATTGTGCATCGGCGTGCCGTGGCAATGCCAGTTGCGCCTTTTACCAGTTCACCAAGTCGACTGAGACCTGCGCCTCGAGGACATCAGCTCTGGATTTGTTCGTTCATGTGTCAAGTCTGCAATTTTTGGCAATGATGCACCTATCTTTTAAGGCACGCTCTTCGAGCGCTGCGATCTCATCCAGCAGCTGGTGGTGCAGATGGTCAATGACCTGTATGGCATCTGGCCCACCGGCAACTTTTGTCTTATCGCCAACCCAGAGCAGTGTTGGAAGGAGATCAAGCGACGGAGTTACCTGAGCCTGACACCTTCCGCTGCGCCTCTGTCTTCTTCAAGGTGTTACACTGCATCTCATAGATCTCGGATGAGTGTGTACACGCACAATGCGCTAGAATACGAGTACAATATGTATGCATAGCCTACAATATCCTTGCAATCATGTACCTTCGGTTCAACAAGGTTGCCGAAGGTCTAGACAAGATGGCAGAGTTGTGGCGATCTGACGGTCTCATGGAACCAGTTCAAAAGTCTTAAAGTGTCTCCTATACTAGTATAGCATCCTTTGTCCGCACTCGGTCAATCCATCCTGGCCATCCCCGTGCAAATGGCTCAAAGTTGGGACTATTATGAAGACTCCAACGAGACATATGTATTTGATACCGCTTCCCACAGACATGCCACACCCTGCCAAGGGAACAGCCCCAGATGCAATCCCTGTAGAGCGGGAGGGATGTACTCCAGACGTACTCGATCTCATCGCAAGGTGCCCCGATGCCTTTTCCAGGACCAGTATGACGCCTGTGCCTTGCCCGTGAAGGGGCTGTATCAAGTAGGTTTAAATAAACATACTGACATGCAGGTATGTAGGGTTTGTGCAGGCTACAGACGGTTTACATAGAGGCGGAGTTTATGAGTTGCCAAGAATAGGCACCTAATTCGAATCGTCATCCTTGCGTACTACCCAACCATCCAAGACTTGCAAGTTAACCCCTCGTTCTTACCCTCTTGTAGATGGAGTGTCCTTTCACCATTGCTCCCAACACCTCTTGATCGGATTAATCGACATCTGTGTTCTTGGCCCCTGATCGGAGGGGCAATGGTGGGATTCTGAAAAGAGGACTGTAGGTCTCTGTAGGCAGTACGCCACGACGAACCCAAGTTGTGGAGACTAAAAATGTGAATTTCTGGGCTTCCTGACCACGAAGGTGACGCGTTGCAGCAGATCTCGGGCGTGGAGGCTATCAAGCCACCTCCCCTCCCCCCCCCCCCCCAAAACCCTGGATTGCACGGGTGACTGTGTATATCTAAGGGATACTAGGAACATTAATTCAGGGGTCATAAGGCCAACAGCGGTGGTTTAGGGTTGGGGGGTTGCGCATCTTCATTGCCTTTACCAGGCATGCAAAGGAGGGAATTTGAATGCTGAGTTTTGAAGCATCTAGGTTGTGTTCAGGGTAGATGGTTCTGACAAGTCTACTGCTCTGGAGGATATGAGGGAGACCTACAGCTTACCTAAAAACCCAAGTGTTTGCTCTTGCTGTTCAGCTCACGATTGCTTCTGCCTTTTGCGGCCCGTAGGTAGAGCCATCTTCCTTCAGGACAGCACTCCTACACGACTGTATAGTGTCAGGGTCTTTACACGTGCAACGTAGCTGAACATGGAGCCTTGCGCTCTGAAACTCGTTCGACGTACACGGTGCAACGGAGCCCCCAAAAAGCACCCCCCAACCCAGTATGCTGCTCAACTTTGGAAGGGCGCCTTTGAAGTTAAAGACCCCAATTTAGTCACGCTAGCACACGCAGGATTTCTCAAATGGCACTTTTAATTCTTGGAGCTTGCCCCTTCCACTCCAGCCGTGAGATGTGATTTGAAACGGAGTTCGGGCTCAAGGGCATCGGTACTTTGCAGGGTTACATGGGTAATCCATGTAGTCTCGCTTCGATTCTTGAATTAGCAGAAGCATCTCGAAATGGCGTCCTCTTTTTTGGGGGGGTTTTGCGGGCTTCTGAAGCTGCAGGCTGGCACATGCGAAAGGTGCCAGTACATCGATGCCTCCAGCGAGTATGCAGCCAAGGGAATGCGCAAGGCCTAAGAGGGCCTAAGAGGGCTCCGGGGGGGGGGGGGGATTTTGAACCAGGCATAGACTTGGTGAGCTTTGCCAGGCTGTTGTATCAAGTTCTTCTGCGTCTTGGAACGCTGGGCGAGTAACTGAGAGCTGGATTTACGGCTTCCGGAATAGTTTAGGTGACGGTTTACGAACCACGCGCAAGGAGCCTTTGCCATCGTCTTTCCCATCTGCCTCTCAGATCTCTGTCGGCTGCAACTATACCACCCGCATGTTCTCCAGGCCCAAGGATGGCAAAAGTGGCACAGTTACAATGTGGGGGTTTCCGATAATAGGGGTACCCTCCTATTCAGGTAGGACGAAAGTTCGACCCACGACCCAGAGGCATCAGAACACACAGGCAAGCATGACAAGGCCAAGCCCCCATCCCCCTTAGATTCGACTCCACCTGTACAAAATTGATAGCACCAAAAGTCCCCACATCGGTAGGAACGGTTTTCTGGGGGGACAGGTGCTTAGATGGGGGGGGGGGGTGGGGGGTGGTAAGGCCCATTCACGGTGCGGTCATGTCAAGCTCACGGATGTAAAAAAGCGCTGTCTTGCTGCAAGCCTATCGCGGCCTGAAGATGCTTAAAGCAAGGAGAAACAGAAGGTGAAGAAGAAGAAGCATCCTCCAAAGCTTCCCAGCGTTCAGCCACTACATGTTTTGCAGCATTCTCTTTTGTGTTTCGGATAACACAGGTCAAGCAGACTGGAAGCTCTTGGCAAGAAAACGGAAACGCCCATTCAAAGGAAGACCTTGACAAATGGCATCTGCAGCTCCAACGGGTTGACGTTTCTGGAAGAAGTCCAATTGTAGCAAGGCATACGATCCGGAAAAATCGCCGCGCAATGAAAGTCGCCAAGAAAAGTTTTAGGAATTCCGACACCATCGCAGTTCGAATGCCCTGTCCGGAAGGAGGCGAAAACATTAATTATCTTTGTCATTAAATAATAGTGTTATCATGTGGTTGTTGGTACTTGGCTTAAGAGGCACGGTCGGTCAGTACGTGTGCGGTTTATTTACATGCGTAAAGAAACGGGAGTGGCATCTACACCTCGATCCGAAAGCCCCAAAAGCCCCAGTTGACTCAAGCAGACCCATGAAGCATCTAGAAAAGGGTCAGATGCAACACTAAAACCCCGAACACCTAAACCCTTAAATTTCAAATCCTGGAGGCAAGAGGACGACCTGAAGTGGTTGGGCCCACGTCCAACAACGGTCTTCACATGTGTCAGTGGCGAGTGGGTCGGCGAGCTCCGTCTTCAAAGTTGGGGAACAAGTAGTTTTCCTACCATGGTATGTCATCGCTTTTTCTTTTATTGTTGTTCTTGCCACTGTTGGTATGCTGGGCAATTTGCAGATCTTGAGTAATTGGCAAAGACATTCCTGCAAACGGATGAGATGGAGCGTTGTAGGACTTTTGAGCATAGCGGAGATTTAACGTTCTCACGCCCACAGTAGTCATATAGGTCATTCAGCAAACTACCCAAGAGCTGCAGTTGAAACAAGACCACAAGTTGGGGCCATCTTCGTATTTGTAGCACAGCAACAGGAATGGAACAGGAGCAGGCGAGACGTATGCTTGCATATTCCCCTCTCGAATCCGTGCGTCCTCCCAGAGGCCTCATATTCTTTGGCCACCTTTGTATAGGCTCCACAGACTACTGACTTGATACTTGATCCATGTGTACCCCCATAGAATGTCTTCGGGGCTCCCATATCCCCGAAAAAGGCGCTCATGGCTCATGCCTGAAATCGCTGGACCATTGTTTGTGATACTTCGTCGTACATGTAGTAGGAAGAATACTCCATAGCAGTTGTCTAGGAGTACTTGCACACAGAATCATGCAACTCATTGTAGACCAGTTTCAGGTGGGCAGCTTGCCCCCAAGAGAAGCCTGGGAGCTCCCCAGTTGCTGGCTAAAAAGAAGCAAACGCCTGAGGAGCTTGGCCCCTGGCAGCACCTCGGCAACCTCAGCTGCCAGGACGGCAAAAGCAGGTTCAGCTGTCTGATTCAGGAGTCAAAGCCCTAAAACCCATCCGCAACCTATTTTGTTCCTGGTTTTGGGTGTTTAGCGTTTAGAGTTCACACTTTGGTTGCCTGACCGCGATCGTTCAATGATCTTGAATGCGGCCATGACGATGGTGAAATCTCTTTTTGCAGAGTTGTAGTTGCTGCTGTAGCTTTGGAAGATGGGTCTTACTTGAACCACTAAAACGAAGACGTAGTGAGTGGGAACTGGCGGGTGATCGCAACCAGGCTTGCGGATTCATCTTGAATGACCAGTGTGAGGGACTCTCCGCAAGAACACACGGAACCCCCTCCAACGAGGATGACAACAATAGTCACGGCAACAGTCATAGCCAGAAGTGCAACACGAAGAAGAAGTGCGGTCTCAGTCACCCAGCAAGCAACAATAAGATGACGGTCATCACTGAATCATCACAAACATTTAGTAGCAGCAACTTCGAAGAACATAAGAGCAACCAACATGGTCACTCCCTACTAGCAAGAATGATATCAACAATAGGTGATGATGACGACTCCCCAGTTAAATCGCAATTTGTGGGTGTTGTTCAGTTAAGGTACGTTTTGAGGTACCCTTTCAAATGATAAAGAGAAAACGGGAATAGGCACCCAAAAGGCACCTTGAACAACCCGCTAAATGCCAGCCTGGATGTGGATGACTGGTGCGTAGCAGTAGCAGCATGTTTCAATCAACGCCAGCGAGGGAATAGTAAACAAGAGGGCTGAAGGCATTCATTATTGCGAGGCAAACAGGCGCAGCAAGGCAAAGAAGACTCATGATGGAAGCAAGAAAGTCACAAGAATAGGTGAGCTGGCATGTACTGGCATCGTTCAGTTTTTTTTGCTGAGAGTCCCTATACCTATCCCGAAGCCTATGTTCACAAATCCTGCCAGGAGTGCATCCAGGTGGGAACGCCAAGCCTGGGGAGCTTTTCGAACATCAACCTTCCAGAGGCCGCAGTCCTTGCCCTGCCAATGTCTCAAATAGAAGGGGCAACAGCCTTCCGTACCGCCAAAAGTAAAGACTCCTAGAGGGACCCCTAAAAACATAAAGAGCCGATCATGCAGAGAGACATGCCCATGAATTCTTACATGTTAGGCTTTTGACTAATGGCTTTCGAAGTTTACTTGAGAGGGCAATGTTGCACCCTGCTTAGTAGGGGCCCCCTCTATGAAGTCAATTTGGCTGGGCCATTCAGGACACCCTGACTGTTTGGGGGTGCAGACCAGGTCCCTCTTTAAAGTCAAACGGTCCAAATGCCTCATGGCTTCCGCCACGGTTGCTTCCAGCAGGTCTACTTCCTGGAGCACCGCTTGATGCAGGTCGCAGCTCCTCAAGACGACCCAAGCAAAATGCTGAAGAGCTTACTTCTACGTGCAGCTACAGTTAGAGCAACAGTACAACCATAGCTAGAGGACTTTGGGAACTTGACGTTTGAAAGTAAGTTGCATCCGTAGCTGCCTGTAGCTGCCTATGGAATACCAATACCTCGGTTGTGCACTTCATTTATCCAGCTCGAACCTGATAAGTGCCTCGAGAATCCTGGCATTCCATTTGTATTTCCCGCAATGATTCCTGGCTCCACGCCAGCAGGACCCTTCTACAATCCTTGTTGAACCCCTTCCCTCCAGAGCCCTCATTGCTTACCCCTAATTCGGACCCATCCAGGTCAACTACGCGAGTTCCTCCGGTCCGGGCTGTCTGAGCGCCAGCTGGAAAACAAGGTCCTGCCCAATCGGGACACGCCGGGGTTTTGGGACCCAAGCCCTTCCTTGAGAGCCCAGCCCTTACTTCAGAGCCCTCAAGCCTAAAGAGGCCCCCAACAAACTTAAGTTTATGGGAATTGAAAGCCGGCTTCCATGGAGGTCGCCACTGGTGCTCCGGCTGCGTGGTTCTAACGATCAGGACCTGGAAGTGGGCTTCTATTGGGTCCTGTAGGGTCTTGTCCTCAGGGGCGATTCAAGGAGGAGTATGGGGGGTTCAGACAATATCGAAACAATGTATAGCACCAAAAGGGTTTACTTGGAGGGTGGGCTGATACCAGCCTACTTGTGATTGTAGTTAGAGCTCAGTTACAACTTTTTTTATGGACTTAGGGACTTATACCCGGGAGCAGCTGGCTCAGAGTTGCAGACACAAGCGATACGTAATCTTCAATCTGTCATAGGGTGCGCTATGTTTATACCGGGAAAAAGTCAGAGCGATTCAGGAGACCGCGCAATGTGTCCCGAAGTTCTGTCATCCTCACTCTAAAGGCCAGCAGATGGACATACCTGTACAATTCTTGGGGTTCGCAGTTTCCTTGCTGCCGACGGCTGAGGGGGTCAAGGATCCCTTGGCTGAATCTGCCTGCTTTCGGGTTCAGCCATTTTATCATCCATATGCTGCTGAATAGAGCCTGTATCATCATCCCCACACCGCCCCTGTCTTGTAAAGATGCTTGGATGGCGAGGAGCTCAGGGTGCTGCGAGCTTGCGGCTCGAACCAGATCATCCTCCAAGCCAGCTGCAGCGAGGAGGCGTCGTATTGGCAGGACCAGGGCTAGAAAGAAGCTTCTCGGGAAAAAAACGCGATGGTTGCATGCGAACGGATGAAGCTTAGAAAAATCATAGTAGTTCAAGGGTCATACGCAAGGGACGCATAGTCTTTCGTGCATAGTTTTTTTTATTTTATTTTTTCAGTGGTTTGGCCCTGAAGCTTCTCGTGGAAAGAACAAAGGCTACTAACACCAAAGTTTGCCTTCAAGAGATATCCCTGTGAAAAACCAGCAAAACCTCAAACTGGGAGCTTCCCTGACAGGATGCAGACCTTTTCCTGCATGCGGAGAGCCCCGAGAGCCAAACGTGTTTGTTTCAGCGCAGCGCGGCCGTGCTTACGTTTTTTTGAGAGTTTGGCCGCTCTTAGGCTGTGTTCGTCTGTGCTTGCAACATGAGTAAAGCCAAGCAACGGCAACATCACCAAAAGAAGGAGCATCGCCAGTGGCAGCAGCCTGCGCTTGCTGCTGCTGCTGCTGCTGCTGCTGCTGCTGCTGCTGCTGCTGCTGCTGCTGCTGCTGCTGCTGCTGCTGCTGCTGCTGCACTGATACACTCAGCTGTGAGACATCTATGCCAAGCCAGCCACGAAAGACAGCATTGCCGTGAGTACGAATTCTCAGTGCATATTCACTTCGGGCTTTGTGCGGGGCTCAGGTGATAACTCGCTTTGGCTTGACGTCTGTGGTCCGGATGCACTGCGGTTAGAACCTTGGCCTTGCTATGTGTGGTGTACAGGTCAAAAGGCTCGGGAAAAGGTTGCAGTAGTCGCATCAGTGATCGGACTTGAAGCAAGAAAAAAGCTTCTTGAGGCTTCAGGCTGGTCAGGTGATGTCAGCTGCAAGGATAAAGTTCCAAAACTCGGGAGCCTTGCTAAGCCTCGCCCAGGAAAGACAGCAGCTTGTCTCGGATGCGGGCTGCGTTTTGGCAGAGGCCTCCATGTTTGAGGCAACTACTTAGCAATGAATGTGAAGAAAAGGTCGGGTCTGCGTTGCTATAGCTCTCTCTGGCTTACCTGTCCGACACCCCAAATCCAGACTCCTATTCTTCTGAGCATTTTGGTGGCTACAGCTAAGGGTTGCCGCTAGTGAGTCGTAGGCTGAAGAATATGATCATCAGCCCTACGTGCTCCTGAACATTCCCTATGAAAACCTTCTGTATGGGCGCCTGACTAAACAAAACCGATGAAGTTGACTAAAGAGGGATCTTAAACGTAGCAGAGAGCACATATAACCCTTCCTTCCAGGGAGATGCCTTCTTGTTTGGGGATCAGGCCGACGACAGCGGTGATGCCAGCATTACCGTTGCGGACTGCTCAGCGGTGAAGGCCTGGTGCCCTTAGGTGCGTTTTGGGGGAGGGTTGAGGTCTTGGGGGGGGGAGGGGGGGGTGTTCAAGTCCAGCCTGGCAGGTTCTTCCTCAGTGGGCAGCAACCGCGCTCTGAACAGGATCTTGAAAGTAGATCCCCCAACCTGGTCCCCACTAGTGGGTGGTTGATTGGGGGCCCTGAAAAGGTGGTCTAACTTCATCCTATCAAGGCTGCCAGCAAAATGCCTTCACCCACAGACCTGAACTCTGATTCCTAAACCGTAAACCCTAAATTCTCTGAGAAGGACCAGTCCTGGTACTTCGAAAAGGGGGACTGCCTCTTCGGCATGGACATGGCCTGGGCCTTGTCTTGAATTTGCAGGAGATGTATGACCAAGCGCTGCTCCTGTTGCAACACTTCTATTGCCCCTGCTACTCCTAGTACTCCTACTACTACTATTCCTACTACTCCTACTCTTGGTGGTGCTGCTGCTGCTACTGCTACTGCTACTGCTACTGCTGCGGCTGCGGCTGTGGCTGCGGCCGCGGCGATCGCCGCCGCGATCGCCGCCGCCGCCGCCACCGCCACCGCTGCTGCTGCTGCTGCTGCTGCTGCTGCTGCTGCTGCTGCTGCTGCTGCTGCTGCTACTGCTTTCGCTACTGCTGCTACTGCTACTGCTGCTGCTACTACTGCTGCTACTACTGCTGTTGCGCTTGTCGTTGCGGTCGAAATCAGGGAAGGAAGTCAAAGTAGCTTCTTAGGGACCCATTTGCGGCAGATCGCAGTGCATGTTCTTGCGTGGCGCGCCATGGACCAACTATGTAGAATTGCTAACTCAAACAAGTGCTATCCGTCGCAGTATTTGTGGTTGAGGTATGTTAAAGTGGCAGTGTTACCAGAAGCTTCTGATGCAAGCTGGCATGGTGACAGGTGGATGCCGTGGACCGAAAGTGGAACTTTTCCGTGCCGTCGGAAGGATTCCAGCGTTGTTCTGGCTGACTATAAATGAAATCCAGGGTAAGACGAAGAAGAACAGGAATAGTAGGACTAGGGTGGACAACGCCATACTGACATCAGGTTTAGGGGTTCGACTTGCCGCAACGCGTTCTCTGCATCATTGCATCATGGGCAATCAGCGGGAACACACAAGCTCAGGATGCCGACTTTTGGGAGGGAGGATGCCGAAACGGACAACATTCCTCAAAAGAAGCAGGCTTTTTCGTTGGCTGTTCGATGCGTTTCCCAGCCTGGCTGGGGTTGCCAGACACCGCTCATGATGCTCCCTTGCGGAAGCCCCGCAGTGCCTCCTCAAAAGGGTGATCCAGGCCCAGGCAGTTTCACTTCTAGGCACCTTCTGTTTAGGAGAAGCACAGCTTTGAAAAATCTGGAGTCCCAAAGCATTTCAGGAGGAGAACTTGGTGTTCAGCTGCTGAAGTTCATGCCAGAGACCCGCCACTCCGAAAAGGACACTTCCTCGTGCTTGAGTGGCGCAGGCTTTGCAAGCTGTCCGGTGCCTTGGAGAGGCTCAGGCGTTCTCAGGCGTAACAATTGCTGCCAGCCTTCGGGCTTTAAGTTGGTGAGAACAAGTGTTCGAGTGCGGCAGTGGCCGAGCCCAAAATCCGTACACCTGAACCTTGGGGACCCCATTTCGGCGCGGCCCAACCTAAAGAGTGAATGGCACCATACAAACATGCTTAAGTATGCACCGTACAGTCCTTAGAGTGTTTTTACGAGACTATCGGCCTGTGTTATAAGGCTCCTCCAGCCATCAGCTGACCGCAGGATTTTGTATGGATTGGCATGTTCGGAGGCCCTTGGGCAACTTGGCTGGAGCGTGACGGCTGGGGGGCATGACAGGACTAGCAGAGGGCCTTCGGGAGGCAACGTTGTGTCTCAATGATGGTTCATGTTCTCCGCAGGAGTCACACACTGTGGCGGTCTTTTTTCCGGGGCAGATGATGCTACTCACTAAGTGGTGACTAGCCACAGGCTGCTGTGGGGGTGGCAATGATGGGGCCAGTCGTATCTTCAAAAGGGATTATCAGGTGCGCAAGTGAGGGTTGGTCCAGATTGCAGCATTAGATGAGAGCAGGCCCTTGAGCAAGAGTCGTCCTGAGAGTACTAGGAAGAAGAACAAGAAGACCGTTAGAACCCGCGTAAAACCCCGACTATCAATGGTTCGTGTTCCTCGCATCATCACGATGGCTGAGGAGATCAACTTGGCAGTGCAGCAGGAGGATTCTGGTAAGCTGACGCCAGTGACTGAAGAATACAAAGCCTCTTCTCGAGAAGGTGTGCTCGGGTTGCGACTACAAGAACAACCAGTGTGTGCAGTGTGCAGTGCTACTTTAGTTGTAAGTTGTGCTTCTGCTACTGCTACTGCTCCGGCGTTTATGACTACTGCTACGACTTCTACGGCAAGTACTATGAGTCGTACTGCTACTACTCGCGCAACAAAACCCGCAGCAGACAAACGGTAGCAAACAGTAGCAGCAAACGCAACCACAATAGCAGCAGCAGAAGCGGCAGCGGCAGCGGCAGCGGCAGCAAGAAACAACAATTTTGCTACGACGACGACGACGACGACGACGACGCCGCAGACGCCGACGCCGACGATGACAACGACGCTGACGACAGCGGCGACGACGAGGACGAGGACGAGTACTACTGCTACTCCTCCTGCTGTTGCTGCTGCTCCTACTACTACTACTACTACTACTACTACTACTACTACTACTACTACTACTACTACTACTACTACTACTACTACTACTACTACTACTAGTACTACTACTACTACTACTACTACTACTACTACTACTACTACTACTACTACTACTACTACTACTACTAGTACTACTACTACTAGTACTACTACTACTAGTACTAGTACTAGTACTAGCACTAGTACTAGTACTAGTCCTAGTACTAGTACTAGTACTACTACTACTACTACTACTACTACTACTACTACTACTACTACTACTACTACTACTACTACTACTACTTCTACTTCTACTTCTACTTCTACTTCTACTTCTACTTCTACTACTTCTATTACTTCTACTACTACTACTACTACTACTACTACTACTACTACTACTACTACTACTTCTACTTCTACTTCTACTACTTCTACTACTTCTACTACTTCTACTACTACTACTACTACTACCACTACTACTACTACTACTACTACTACTACTACTACTACTACTACTACTACTACTACTACTACTACTACTACTACTACTACTACTACTACTACTACTACTACTACTACTACTACTACTACTACTACTACTACTACTACTACTACTACTACTACTACTACTACTACTACTACTACTACTACTACTACTACTACTACTACTACTACTACTACTACTACTACTACTACTACTACTACTACTACTACTACTACTACTACTACTACTACTACTACTACTACTACTACTACTACTACTACTACTACTACTACTACTACTACTACTACTACTACTACTACTACTACTACTACTACTACTACTACTACTACTACTACTACTACTACTACTACTACTACTACTACTACTACTACTACTACTACTACTACTACTACTACTACTACTACTACTAGGCGTGACGTTCTTAATTGATCGCAGGGGTTTTGTGGCATGCAATTTTCGTGTTAAGAGACGAAAACCTCGGTATTTACAGTGTTTCCTGGCTTTGTCCGTTTACGGACACGAAAAATGGACGTGTAAAAATTGCCGGAAACTACTTTCAACTACTTTAGGCGCAGGAGGAAAACATCGGTATTTACAGTGTTTTCGGGCTTCAAAAACGGTCAATTACAGGGCCTACTTTGCACAGACGTGTTCTCAGAACAGAGGAAAAGACCGGTATTTACAGCGTTTCGCGGGTTTTCTAAGATGTGGCCAAACTTGTCCTTAAACCCGAACGCCTCCAGCAAGCCGAACAGTCGTGCACCCTGAAATCCGAAACCCCAAAACCTGAAGCAAGCCCAAGAGTCGTGCACCCTTAAAATCTCAACCCCACAGCGTCAAGCACGTCCCCAGAAAAAACACAAAACATCTGGAGCCTTAAACCCCAAACCCCATGCGTACCCTGAATGAGCACCCCCTTAAACCTTAAATCCCATAGAAAAAGCCCAAAAGTCCTTTCACCTTACAGCCTCAACCCCAAACCCTGACTGCAAGCCCAAAACTCCTTCGACCTTACACCCTAAACCCCAAACCCCACAGAGAAAGGCGAAAAGTCCTTTGACCTTACAGCCTCAATCCGGCCGGGCCTTGCTCGAGTTTAGCTCGCCTGAACTGTAGTTTGAGCTGAAGACATGAAGTTGCTGGAGGATTTCTCTCCGTCATGCGGTGGCGCTCGCCGTTTCCATACAGTATGCCCTAGCGTGTGAAAGTGTGGAGTCACGCCATCGCTTGCAGAAGCAAGCCCTCCCTGCCTTGCTAGCCGGGGCAGCACAGACCTACGTCAGAATCCTAGAGGACCACCCTCCACTGTGAGCCCAAAAGGTCTAGCCCCTAAACCAACCACAAAAACAGAGGAAAACAGTAGACAGCGTGGTCATGTGTGCACAAAGCACAGCACGACCCCCATGTGTGCACAAAGCACAGCACGTAATTCCCCCCCCCCCCCAACCCCTGAGCGTGGTCATGTGTGCACAAAGCACAGCACGTAATTACCCCCCACCCCCCCACCCCCCCCCAACCCGTCAAACGGAGGAAAAACAGGAGAAAACGATAGAAAAAGTAAAAAAACAGCAGAAAACACCATGATCAGTTAAGAGCGTGTCACCTACTACTACTACTACTACTACTACTACTACTACTACTACTACTACTACTACTACTACTACTACTACTACTACTACTACTACTACTACTACTACTACTACTACTCTACTACTACTACTACTACTACTACTACTACTACTACTACTACTACTACTACTACTACTACTACTACTACTACTACTACTACTACTACTACTACTACTACTACTACTACTACTACTACTACTACTACTACTACTACGAATACTACGAATACTACTACTACTAATACTACGAATACTACTACTACTACTACTACTACTACTACTACTACTACTACTACTACTACTACTACTACTACTACTACTACGAATACTACTACTACTACTACTACTACTACTACTACTACTACTACTACTACTACTACTACTACTACTACTACTACTACTACTACTACTACTACTACTACTACTACTACTACTACTACTACTACTACTACTACTACTACTACTACTACTACTACTACTACTACTACTACTACTGACTACTACTACTACTACTACTACTACTACTACTACTACTACTACTACTACTACTACTACTACTACTACTACTACTGCTGCTGCTGCTGCTGCTGCTGCTGCTGCTGCCAAAACTCTTGCCGCTTCTATTACTACCTCTATAATACCAGAACGGCTTGTGACACTAGTTGCTCCGCTCTAAGTCTACAAGGAGGTTTTGAGGTTGATGAAGCAGTCGCGCATGCACACGCTGTTTATTCTATCAGTCCTGCTTTAGCCTCTACAACAGTCTTCGAAATTTCGAGGGAAGGGAAGTGGCCCCCTTTGGTAGTCGTATATCCTTCAGATCGACTGAGAGCCCAAGTAGATTTTTTCCTTGACAGCGTGATGCACGGCAGAGAGAGACGGAGAGACAGAGCGAGAGATGGAAAACCCGCACGTACTCTTCCCTCAACTTTCAAAGCCTTTCAATCCTTAACTTGACGAGCGCCTCACCTTCACGTGCGAGGTGGCTTTGTAAAGCGGAATGTTCCTGGACACGGCTGCTGGGACCTGGGGACCTGTAGAGAGACTGCCGAGTAGGGAATGGCAGAAGGGATGGCAGGGATCAGTACAGGGAGTTCTGCAAGGGCTACAGTAGGGATCCACGCAAGGTAGCTATTGATCATTCCTAACGGCTTGCACCACTGCCACCGATCCCGAGAAACCCGCGGGGACGTAGCATGGGCGCCTCGCCCCGAAGGCCGTAGCCAGTGGCCAGGTTAGGAGAAGACCATCTTCGTCCGTCAGCAGTTTATCTTCGATGCAATGATTCCTTACCGATGATCTCTAAGCATTGTGGTACTACAACACGGGAGTTTTGCCGGCTGTGCGTTAGACCAACGGCACGAGTCAGCTTCGTTCTCGCCTGCCTATTTGTACGAGCCATAATTTCGACGATGTTTTGGATGGGGGGTTTGAAGCGGGTGGGGAGGCTGGGGAATGGGGGCGAGAGTAGAATTCGCGATTCTCGACTGCGTTGTCTTTCGACGTACTTTTTGGTCGGGCGGAGGCGAGGCTGCGGGGGCGGGCGCCGGGTCAAGGGGCGTGAGAGAGGTTGGGAGGCGAGGGGGATTTAGTGATATGCCCACACAGCAACAGGTACAGTGGAAGGGTTTGGGCTTGAGGCTGGGCGGGCTGGGAGCGGAGCAAAGTTCTTGAACCTTCTAAGTGTGCTCCTAAAGGGTTCCGCCAGAGCTCGACCACGACGTGCCGGGGTCGATGGGTCGACTTTTTGTTTTCCCTGGCTCAGGGTTAAGGTTTGGGTTCCAGAGGATAGGGCATAGGGCTGAGCGCTTGCTGTTATGTGTATGTAAGTTGGGGGCCCTTAGATCCATCTCAAGCAGGGGCATGTAGTTGGACCGCGGTTGTTTATTGCCCGTGTACTCTTCGGCACTTTTCGCCTGGAAACTTTTTTTTTTTTTTTGGGGGGGGGGGGGGGGGATTTTTCTCATTTTCCATTTAGGCCTTTTCCAAAACGCGTTGTTTTCAGGTTTTTGCTTTTGGCGGCTTTGTTTTTGCAGCGTTTTATCTTTTCGTTTTCGCGGTTCTCTGTATTTTCGTTTGAAGCCTTTCCGCAACGTGTTTTTTCGGGTTTTGGTTTTCAGCCACTTTTTTGTCTTGAAGGTGCGTTGCTTTCGGGTTTTTGCTACTCTTCCTCGCTCTTCTACCTCACTTGTTTCCTGCCGTGCACAAGGCCCAAACCCAGAACATGAAACCCAAAACCCTGTACTGTAAGCTCTACACCATGTTTCTTTGCGGTGCGGACTTGCCGAGTGGCCAGAGCATCCATGCCCGCACCATGATTCCGTCCGTGCTCGTCTTGCGTGCGAGTGGCCAGAGCATCCATGCCCGCACCATGATTCCGTCCGTGCTCGTGTTGCGTGCGAGTGGCCAGAGCATCCATGCCCGCACCATGATTCCCTCAGTGTTGCGTGCGAGTGGCCAGAGCATCCATGCCCGCACCATGATTCCTTCCGTGCTCGTCTTGCGTGCGAGTGGCCAGAGCATCCATGCTCGCACCATGATTCCCTCCGTGCTCGTCTTGCGGGCGAGTGGCCAGAGCATCCATGCCCGCACGATGATTCCCTCGTGCTCGTCTTGCGTGCGAGTGGCCAGAGCATCCATGCCCGCGCCATGACTCCCTCCGTGCTCGTTTTGCGTGCGAGTGGCCAGAGCATCCATGCCCGTGCAATAATTCCCTCGTGCTTGTCTTGCGTGCGAGTGGCCAGAGCATCCATGCAGGCCCGCGCAATGATTCCCTCCGTGCTAGTCTGGCCAGAGCATCCATGCCCGCACCATGATTCTGTCCGCTCGTGTTGCGTGCGAGTGGCCAGAGCATCCATGCCCGCACGGTAACTCCGTCCGTGCTCGTGTTGCGTGCGAGTGGCCAGAGCATCCATGCCCGCGCCATGATTCCGTCCGTGTGCTCGTTTTGCGTGCGAGTGGCCAGAGCATCCATGCCCGCACCATGATTCCGTCCGTGCTCGTTTTGCGTGCGAGTGGCCAGAGCATCGCATGCCCGCACCATGATTCCGTCCGTGCTCGTCTTGCGTGCGAGTGGCCAGAGCATCCATGCCCGCACCATGATTCCGTCCGTGCTTGTTTTGCGTGCGAGTGGCCAGAGCATCGCATGCCCGCACCATGATTCCGTCCGTGCTCGTCTTGCGTGCGAGTGGCCAGAGCATCCATGCCCGCACCATGATTCCGTCCGTGCTTGTTTTGCGTGCGAGTGGCCAGAGCATCGCATGCCCGCACCATGATTCCCTCCGTGCTCGTCTTGCGTGCGAGTGGCCAGAGCATCCATGCCCGCACCATGATTCCGTCCGTGCTTGTTTTGCGTGCGAGTGGCCAGAGCATCGCATGCCCGCACCATGATTCCCTCCGTGCTCGTCTTGCGTGCGAGTGGCCAGAGCATCCATGCCCGCACCATGATTCCGTCCGTGCTTGTTTTGCGTGCGAGTGGCCAGAGCATCGCATGCCCGCACCATGATTCCCTCCGTGCTCGTCTTGCGTGCGAGTGGCCAGAGCATCCATGCCCGCACCATGATTCCGTCCGTGCTTGTTTTGCGTGCGAGTGGCCAGAGCATCCATGCTCGCACCATGATTCCCTCCGTGCTCGTCTTGCGTGCGAGTGGCTGTTTCATGATTTTAAGTTTCAGTGCCAGTAGCTGCACGCTCCAGCTACTTGCTTCTTTTCTTCTGCAGACAGACCTGAGCCGTACTGCTTCTGCAAAGAAACAAGCGACGCTTTCAGGCTTAGGGCTGGCGACTTCCAACTTGCCGTTTAACATGGGAGGCCTTCAAGTTGTGAATCCTAAACTACTTCATTTTCGTGATCTCCACTTTTTGGAGACTAGGTTGCGGCATTTCTCTGAAATACCGCCCCTGCCGGTGGTTTCGGCATGCAACCTAAGCAAGTTGCTTGTCCCGTACCACGGGCAAATATCAACTGCGCACCATGTAGTTGTTAGAAATTAACATTCTTATTGTGCTAGAGTTTGCTTCGATGCAAACATGGTTTTGGTCTGTGGAACCATGATCAAGGTTGGACCCTTGCATACTACCGGTCTGCGCAGGACGGGTCCTGTTCCCCATGAGTGAGCTAGTAAACCTAATCACTGTAGCAATAGCAACAGTGAAAGCAAGAACAGAACAATGACAATGAGAGAACACCGCTGGCAATCAGTACAATTTGTACAATGAGATCAGAAGCTCTAAACCCAGACTCTTGCGGTGGATGGGGCCTGCCACCTTGGAACATCCAGGCAGTTAGCAATACCAACTTTTCATGTGTGAGTATAACCCCCTTCTTGTGACTCAGGGCTGGTTTGGAGGGGGGTTCATGGTGCCGAGTGGGACCAATAATTAAGCAGGGGACTTGGGGGACGTGACTTGGGTTGCAGCTATGTTTGCATGTACAAGTACACCAGAAGTAACTAAAGGAATTTATGCTCAGTTGCACCCCAAAACCCGGTAGGCTCCATTGCAAACAAGGCCAGCAGCCAAGCTTAGTTCGAGTCCTGGCTAGCATGGAATTTTGCAGCTGCTTAGAGTTTCCTTAGATAGCTCCCCAAACAGACCGGAAATTCTGAGGGGAGTGCTGAGTGCTCGTACCATTCTTGCGACAGTAGCTATACCTGGCTCTTGCTAAGTCCCCGGTGCACCGTGGCTCGAATTGGGGTGACAAGTGGTTGCAAGCGGCCCCCCCCCCCTCGCTCCGAGTAGTTTCCCAAACCATGAGACCTATACATTGAAGTCCCTTGCGCAGGATGAGGAGCCCTATTATCTCTATGATGACGGAGGCAATCCAGCATCCCTCCAGCTCATGCAGTACGGGTACCCGGCAAGGATCAGAATCCTTTCGACTTTGTGTTTGCTTGTGGACGTTTGTTTTTGGGGGGGAAGGGGAATGCTTGCGACAGTGTTCTTCTTCCTCCCGAGGATTGCCGATTTGCCGAACACTTCCTTCTTCTGGGAGATCCCCGATGACAATCGCAGCATGATCCAGAACAAAGGCACTGGCAAATGCTTGAAGGCTCCGACAGCACCAACTTCAATGGATGCATCAAAGGGGAATGGTACTGATTGTGGACCAGATGGCCTGCTTGCCGCACTTGATGGAGGCGAAAAATGCGCTAGTCTTGACAATTTTACGGATTGGACAAAACAGGGAACGACGTGCCTGGAGCCATTTTGGTCCACTGCATATGACTTCAGTTGCCCTGATGGCACGGCCATGCAGAGCACCACATTCCCTTTCCCAGTCGCTGGTAGTAGTGAGTCACTGAACTTCAGCTACACCTGTTGCACACCAGAGTTCTCCTATCTGCAATGGGCAAGCGGGACGACACCCCCTGGAATATATCTGACCTGTTCAGATGGGTTTTTGGTTGGCCTATTCTACAGTCAGACAGGAAAATATGACTCCAGCATCACTTGTATGGGCTCATCTTTCGTTGCCCTCGACTCAAGCAGGCAGACGTTGACGGCCGGGACGCGCAAGTAAACGAGGGAGGGTGGGTGGGTTGTGTGTTAGGTTCCTTTTTTGGCGGCTTTCAACCTTCAAACATCCTCCCTCTTTCCCCACCTCTCTGACACTGTGCTGAGTGGGAGGACCTGCGATGGTGATGACATCTTTCAGCAGTGGGAGTTTGTCGAGGATGCTCAGGAGGCCACTGTCCCTTTCGTGGAATCCCGCTGTAGCATGCTTAATTCCTGGTTTTTGACGGTACCCCAAGAAAGGACCCGAAACTAGATCATGTTGGGTCCAACGCCTAACCTGGCATTCTTACTGGTAATGTTGGAACGCCTTGCGCTCATTGTTCTCGTGATTGTTCTGACTACTTTGTTTGCTTCATTGTCGTCCTGTTGTTGATGGCTTCTTTCTTCCATGTATTGGACTTCTTCCAAGTTGGACGTATTCCGTTCGCAGTGCAGTCTTGCCAACCAGATTGCCAGGCCACCGTATGGTGCCATTGGCATTCTGTTGTTGCCACCACCGCCACTATCACCCCCGTAATGTTGCAAGCACCACCAACCCAGCAGCAAGCTTCTGCATGCCGCCATGGTGTGAAAGAGCCGTTTGCCCCATGCTTGCATGGCATTCCTTTCGAGCAAGGCCTGCCCAAAGGCGGCTCGTGCGAACCACAACGTAGACGTAGACACTTCTTAAGCCTTAGCCTTGGACAGTTCGGAAGGCGGATTCTACACCTGCTCCCGAAGTTCCATTTGATGAGAGAGATTTTTGGCATGTTTGGCCCTTCCCTTTGCTTCAGCTGCATTTTCTGGTCCTTCGCGGTAGATCATTCGGGGAGAAAAAACATGGAAGGCGCTACCGTTCGGCGTTCAATGGGCGGCAGCGGTTCTGAAATGTAGCACACTGCGCATATATATGGGCAGGTATCATGAGAAACGTGAGAGAACTCGCTGGATCGAGCAAGTCTTGACGTATAGCACGGGCGGTTCAGCCATCATGACAAACGTGGGAGAATGCGCTGGGTCAAGCAGAATCTTCAATCATAGCACAAGGTACTCAGCTATCTTGACAATCGCAGGAGAACGTGTTGTGTCGGGCAGATAACTATACAGAAGGCACAAGCGACTCAGTTATCATATGTTCTCATAACAACGCAGGAGAACACTCTGGATCGAGCAGAGTCCCAATGTATACGTGGTGACCACGGGGGAGTGCTCTGGGTCATTCAGAATCTTCAGTCATAGCTCCAGGGAAATAGCTATCCTGACAAACCTGACAAATGTAGGAGAACACACTGGGTCGAGCAGAATCCGCTAGTGTGGCGCAAGCGACTCAGCTATCATGACAGGCGGGAGAACCTGCATGTGGGTCGAGCAAAGTCTTAACATATAGCACGGGCGACCCAGCTATCAGGACGCACGTGGAGAACGCACTGGGTCAAGCCGAGTCCGCAATCACAGCAGTCATAGCACGACGGGCTCATCTATCCTTAAAAATGTGAGAGAACGCGTTGGGTCAGCATATTGCACAAATATGCCAATGTGGCTCTGCTTGGGTTGGTTTACAGAGACCGTTGCTGCTTACGTGCAGCTTACGCGCGCCTCGTGACTGGAACGCCCCATGGCGCGAAGTTTTATACATTTGGACCGCCCGAGTCAAACAGTTCTGTGAACGGACGTCACTTAATGACTGGGCCACTATATGTTTACCGAAATATTGGAAGCTTGCGATGTATGTCGCAGACTTTGATTGGCCCATGCGTCTATTGGGGAATCCAACATGCATACTGGATTTCAGTTGGTTTGCCAGGGCCAGGTTGACCCAAGCGTTCCTTCGCAAAACTGAGTTTACCCATGCTTTGGTGCGTCCAACAAATCATTCCGCCCACAGCGTTCATTGGGGAATTCTGATTTGGTAGTGCTTTATTCGCCTTCGCTTGAACCAGTGCTTTCATTTGGGTTTAAATGTAGTTGGAAAGGGTGGTTTCGACTTCCGTTGCCGCCAGTATGGAAAAGCTGAAGGAGGATCAAGTAAGTGATGTGATTGCCTGGCCGGAGTAGTGGGCTTGGGTCGACAGAGGTTTGTAATTACCTTTATGGAATGGCTTGGGGTCGACTGTTGGTTGGTGGGCACAAGACTGCACATTCGGACATGGTCCTTTCCTTGTGAGGCTGTCTCTTGCCTCGTCCAGCCTTTAAAACTCACCTTGGGCAAGCAGTTTATGCAGTGGGATAGTGTTTGTTTGGGTTTCAAAAGCCGCAACAAAGTGGACAGTGTGAGGAAGAGAGATAGTTGATCATAGAATTTTACGAAGCAGCAACGTGTGTTGTTCCCTGCAGTGCGTCTCTCCGAGTTAGACCGAAGTCCGGCCGTGTGCGAGTATGAGAACTCAACAGCGAAGTAGGGCATGGAGCAATGCAGAGTGACACTCCGGAGTGATACGCGCGGAGCCGGGCTGTGGAAGTGTGTTTCCCGCTGAGTTTAGGACATATGCCTCGCTGCTCGGTTTTGCGTGGAGACTGGTTGTAGTCCCGCCTCTGCCCCAATCCTGTAACATGCCTGGGAGCAGAATTGAACAAAATGGCAGCTACGAAAGCTTCATGTTTGACATTTACATATCCTGGAGTTGGATCGAGTGTGTCACCTATGTACCAGTAAGGATCAGTTACTGCAGTATCACCTTGCGCCTAATAGGGCTGCAAGTGACAGACGTTGGATAGTGTGTGCCTTGCCTGGTTCGTCTGAGTGCGAGCGATCAAGCTCAACAACAGCGCGGAATAGAGCATCAACCGCTAGCACAACCACATTCTACACGAGATGCAATCGGCATGGACACCTGACGATCCTGACGTGGAGCGACAGGGATAGCAACTGGGCTTGCTGTTGCGCAGATGTGGCTACGCGCGGAACACTACTTGCAAGCGCAGCCTCTCCCACCTGATCCTTCATGGCCTGTGCCCGTGGGCTGTTTCCTCCAACCGCGTCCTCAACCTTTGAATCTCCCGGGGTCCTGGGCCTGAAGCCCCAGCCTGTCTTGCTTCAGAGGAACCTGTTCACTCAGGCCCACTATTGCAACGGGCCATCCCCTGCGGCCGGTGGAAAGTAGTCACCACACCCATCTGCCCTTGGGGTTCTGTGCATCTTGCAGACTGTTGACGGTGCCATGAATTGCCCACACCAAAGCTTGGGGCTTATGCCGAGTTGCAGGTGCCCCGGCAGATACTAGTGGATTTGCCTTTCCCCGCATCAATTGCATAGATGAGACGAGGCGGAGCTTGCCTTTACAGTTTACACAAGCAGGAACGCAAAAGTTTTCAACCTGCGCCAGGCTTGGTGGGCTGCGACACTTACAGCTACAGCTACAACCTATGACTATGATACGAATGTGCTTCAAATGCATGTCGACATGGATTCTGGAGGTTTCTGTTCCGGCCTAAGAGCAAATAAAGAACTCAACGCAGGTGACTGCAATGACCAGAGACATGGTCAGCGAGAAGCTGTTCAGCAAAATGACATTGTCAGCAGATGTCGGTAGCAGCATGGCCCATACTTCGGGAAGTACCAGCACTCATGTTTGCTTTGACAGTAGTACTTCTGGAGAAGCATTTGATGAATGTTTCCTTTACTAGTTACTGCTGCGGTCAGGACACTAAGTGTCCACTTCTCGCTAAGATTATGAGTACCCCCACTCTCCTTCTGAACATTGTCTGGAGAAGCAGCGCAGCTCAAATGTGCAAGTGAGTCTGTTTCAACTAATAGCCTCAATCTAAACTTTGCACCCGCGATTGGAATTTTGGGGAGATTTGTTCAAGCTAGTGGGACTTGAAGTGGAAATATTAGATTCCGTCGCCCACACATCCGCTTGCTTTCTTCCAAATCGAATCTAATCTCGCCTCCTTCAACCTTGAAAGGCGCAAGCACCAGATGCCCAAGAAGCTCGGAAAGACAGCTGTCTCGTTTTGACTGTTTTGGAGTACCTAAGGACCTAATCCTGAAACAAAAGCAGGTGCTTTGTAGCCCGCATTACGATGTTTAGTGCTACTTTGACTCTAGTTAACCTGTGCAACTTTTTGGTTTTGTTGTTAGTCTTGCTGCGATGATCATGAAAAACTTCAAGACATACACCCTCCGTTTTCAGCATGTTGCTGTCAGCATGTGTCTGAGGAGACGATGGGTGATGTTGTCAGCTTCAGCAGTTGCGAGGCGGACTGCTAGCCCTGCAACCTGTTTTACTGGTGTAGATATAGCATGCACATACGTAGCGGTTGTGTGAGCCGAAGTGCAATGATGGCCTGGTTTTTACCAAAGTCATTATGCTGGGCAGCAGCACGGATTCTTCAAATCTTGGACATATTCGGCTCGTTGTTTCCAACATGTTGGCCTTGGTGGTTGGAGAGAGGTGTGGAAGCACATGTCAATCCATGAGGCGTCCCTGGCACTTGATGCCAGCGTGTCGACAGTGACTGCAAGTGATCTAGCACTGCGCATCTGGGACGACGAGCATCTCAATACGCAGCAGAGGCCGCGAAAGCCACAGCTCGAGAAACCATGTTTGTCCAAGTTTCCATCACCCGACGCGGGTTAGAAATTCCTCCAAATGGCATATTCTGGGTCTCCATCAGGCAAGTTTATCAGTACGTGACGCACTACGAAGTGGTCATACCGAAACGCGATGGTGCGGCTCTCGGTTTTCGGAATTGTGGACCTATTTGTTGGTGTGAGTTCATCAATGAGGCACTCCGTTCGCCGGCAACATTAAGTCCACGAGGTGGTTGGCTTTTAAGCCTAGTCAAATCTGATGTGTGACACGCCGTTTGCCCGTAGTAGAGTCAACTCTAGGCCCCAAGCCCCAGAATCAGGAGGGATAGAGGTCGATAGTGAGAAAGAAGATGCTCTACTCAGTGTCGGTTTCGGGCCTTCAGACATGACCTCCTTGAAAGCTTTGGGGGCTTTGTGGGGTTGGGATTCTGACGCAGCGTTGAGGGCGAAGGCAGAAAGGAAGCAAAATCCGACACGAGCCATGGCTGTTCCTACATTCAGTATCACCCGTCATTGCTGTGTTGTCTGTGTTGTGTGTTGTCGGTGTCAGTGTCGACTACAAACAACAGAACTTGGCTCCAGCCCAGTCGCAAGCACCTGAGCGCACAGGAACAGCCCGAAGACGGACACGGATAAGATGCCTACTCATGAGCACAAGCAAAAAAATTGGTAATAGTCATGCGAAATTTTGCGAATTGAAGTATCAGTCGGTTAAACCTTGGAACACGTCCTCACACATTCCCTTAGCGATGCATAAAGCCACTGCAACCCGGGACTTCTGAACACTTGCCCACAGACCTAAAGACTCCCTAAAATGTTCTTAACTTCCCTAGACTCTCCGCAGACCCTAGGATGCCTAATGGTGCCCTTCAACCCCTTCGTGGCTCTCCAGGCAACGGGGCGGAGGTTCTCTTTGTTTGCCAGTCCGCGGAGTCTGGCCAAGGCAGCTTGTGTTCTTCGAAGGCAGCGGTTAGCCAAGAGGAGAGATGGGCCAAGACAGTCATGTCAGTGTTGTGTTGTGGTAGTCGGTAATCAATAGAAAGTAGCGCGGAGTACATGGCTGCAGTAGTAGTAGTAGTAGTAGTAGTAGTAGTAGTAGTAGTAGTAGTAGTAGTAGTAGTAGTAGTAGTAGTAGTAGTAGTAGTAGTAGTAGTAGTAGTAGTAGCAGTAGCAGTAGCAGTAGCAGTAGCAGTAGTAGTAGTAGTAGTAGTAGTAGTAGTAGTAGTAGTAGTAGTAGCAGTAGTAGGAGGAGTAGGAGGAGTAGGAGTAGCAGCAGCAGCAGCAGTCGTCGTCGTCCTCGTCGTCGTCGAAGGTCGTCGTCGTTGTCGTCGACGTAGTATTCGTAGTCGTAGTCGTAGTGGTAGTAGTGGTAGTAGTCGTAGTAGTGGTCGTCGTCGTCGTGGTCGTAGTAGTAGTAGTCGTAGTCGTAGTCGTAGTCGTAGTAGTAGTAGTAGTAGAAGAAGTAGTAATAGTAGTGGTAGTGGTAGTGGTAGTGGTAGTAGCAGCAGCAGCAGTAGTAGTAGCAGCAGCAGCAGGAGTAGTAGTAGTAGTAGTAGTAGTAGTAGTAGTAGTAGTAGTAGTAGTAGTAGTAGTAGTAGTAGTAGTAGTAGTAGTAGTAGTAGTAGTAGTAGTGGCAGTAGCAGTAGCAGTAGTAGCAGTAGTAGCAGTAGCAGTAGCAGTAGCAGTAGTAGCAGGAGTAGGAGTAAGAGTAGGAGTAAGAGTAGTAGTAGGAGTAGTAGTAGTAGTAGTAGTAGTAGTAGTAGTAGTAGTAGTAGTAGTAGTAGGTAGCGCGCATTTGACGGCACAAAACGCTGGTATTTGCGATATTTGCAAGGCATGGGTAGTGTCTGTCAGGAGAGCGGGGAATTTCTCGGTCATGTCAGGAAACGACAAGCATGAATTCCAAAGACTGAAGACCCGAAACTCCGAACCCTGAATTGCTTTCGCTAAACCCTAATCCCGAAAGCCTAAACTCAAAAGCCTCAACCCTTAAGCTTGAACCCTAAACCCTGAATTGCTTTCGCTAAGCCCTAATCCAGAAAGCCTAAACCCAAAAAGCCTGAACCTGTTAACCCTTAAACCCTAAAGTTTTCCCTCAACCCCCCCCCCCCCCCCCAGCCCCAAGCCACCCCCCTTCCCCGCAAAGCCAAGCCAAGCCAAGGCCAATTAAAAAGATGAAAATAAAACGCAAGGCTCTAATACGAAGTCCAAGGCCCTCATAGGAAATCCAAGGCCCTCGCCGCATTTAGTAACAAGAAGGCGACCTGATCCCATCAAGTAATTAGGAGTCCCTGGAGTAGGGATTTTGTTGGTGTGTGCAGGGTATCCTTTCGGATAGAGCTGGCCAAAGCAGTGAGTCAGTGATGTGAGTTCTCGCAGCTGCACACGCACGCAAACCCCCAGGACTTATCAAAGCTCTACGCCACTGCTGCGACTCTGAAGATGCTCGACTGATCTGTGAAACGTCTGATGCTCACCTGCGAGAGTGAGTCGAAGCTCCGAAGCGCTGTGAAGTTAGCCGGCTTTGTCCTGGACCGTAAAGAAGTCAGCAAAGAGCAGACACACAACAGCCGGGGGCGGCAAAAGCACACGCAAAATGTTGGGACGTTGGGACTTTAACTGTACAACATTTCGGGTTGGTTTGGAAAATTCACGACCCGCTTTCCACGGTGATCTTGCCGTTTCCTTAACCAGAGTCCCTCTTCCCAAATGAGGATCGAGAAGGTGTGCCCGGTTCTCCTGAACACATCTTTCCCGGTGAACGAGTCCGTGGCGAAGCCCATGGTGCCAAACGGAATCACGCTGAAGGCTTCTTTGGGGTCGACAGTCGATCCGTGAGAGGGAAGAACCCACATCTCTTCCACTCTTTTTTTCCGGGGGGAACGGTGCGTTTGCTTGTGAAGAAAGATCTGTTTTTGCTCCGCCCTGGCAGGCCCTGGCAGGTGTCATGCGCGGAGCCCCCTACAAGACGCTTCCGTTTGACAATGCCGCAAACCCGCCCTTTTACTACAACGGCGCCAGTGGTCAGAGGCAGCAACCCGAGCCTGAGTCCTTAAGTCTTCAGTCTTGCACAGACACCTCCCTGACCCCAAACATTCTGCAAGCGACCTCTCCTGGAATGCATGTGACACTAGCAGTAGCAGGCAAATCGCAATAGATCCACAGCCTAGTTCTGTACCAGTAAGCAGCAGTAGCGAAGACGGCAATAGCAGCAATACGGTGGTCCACACCTGTGTCTGTGACACAGGGCCCAGACAGTGGGGTACCTCAGCGTACCCGCCAGTGGGGATGTCAGCGGCTCAGACTAACCGGGCTTTACTTTCTAAATTAGCTTGTTGTGGCAGCTGAAATTGTAAAAAGTGGTTGGCCTTGACCCTGTGCTATTGCTAGGTCAAGAGAAATTGTCGACAGGGACCCAAAGAAGCATCAGCACAGTCACCCACTAGTAGTCCCCTGTCAACCCCTAACTCGACCATCAACTCCAGCGCGCATTTTCCCCATCAGTCTTGCCACAGCGCCGGCGGGGGCTTTTCGAGACGTCATCTTCATTGGCAGGCGGAGCCCTTTCGGCCCTGCCGAGCATCTATTTTCGTGCGCTGCGGCAAGCTACTCAGGAATTTACAACGTGGCGGTTCCGCCAAGGGGTCCTCCGAGGCCGACAACGCTAAGGGGGATGAATCGATTCTCGTCTGTTTGCGGCAACCTATTGGTGATTCACAATTCCAAGCCGACAGTCAAAAGGGAACTCCAACCGACGACCCACTCGGACCATCGGCATCTCCGAGCGGCCACTAACTCGTGTTTCGGACGATCGCGATCGACGTACTCTGGTGGCTCAAGAGTCGACTTGTTGAAGTCTACTGCAACAGTGGGGATTGCACTGCGGCCCTTCAAATGCTTTGCATGAGCTCTTGGGGTGCTGGATTTCTCTGAAGGTGCCCTAGGATCATAGGAGTGCTGTTTAGGGATGTTCTTGAAGAGCACATGGGCTTCTGGAGAGCTCGAAGTCCTCTTTGCCTAGAAGACCTTCCAGTGGTCTTACGGTTTAGGGTTTAGGGTTTAGGGTTTAGGGCGTTGGGGAGTGCTCTTGGAGGTCTCTTCAGGGGTGTTCTTTGAATGCTTGTGGAAGTCGCTTGGACTGCTCTTGGTGTACTGGGGTACTTGGAGTCTGTCGCAAAGTTGGAGGTCTACGCTGGCAGAATGTCTCTCTTACTCTTTTGCTGTGGTATTAATCCCTTCCTTTGTTTTCTAAACGCGCCCAAATACTCAATACCAAACGACTACATTAAAAAGGAGCTGTACTAGTCTAAAGGAGAGTAAAAAAGGGAGGGGGTAGGGGCGTTTTTAGGAAATTGGCTAAGAATTTCGGGATATCTTGGATTTCATATTTATTGTCTTCATAGTTTTTTGATATTTGAAACCATATGAATCATATGAAAGGACGACCCTACTCAAAAACCAAACCCTCAAACTGAACCGTGTACGACTCCCGCGGATTACGAATACTGATACTAAATTAGCACTTAATTCACATTTTCCATTCGCGATAAGGTCTTTTCGTCCGGAACAAATTTTGATATTATAGGGGGCTACAATGCTTTAGATGATTCTGACCGCTAGTATTATGTTTATTTTGTCGATTCTTAGTGTTCTTACTCTCCATTCCTATCTGAG